AAACGTTTTATTTTCGATTATCTTCAAGCTGTTCAGATAATATGTTCTCAAGTTTACTAGATTGAAAAGTATAATCTGAAAACATTTAAGAGATATTGAATTAAACTTTCTTAGATTTATGATTTTGGTTCTCGACGTTTGCTGTAAAGCATTTGAAACGTCGGGAATCAAAAATCAAAATAAATCCGCGAAATAATCCGAAAAGATAGTTTTATGTAAGATATTAAATTATTATTTTATTTCTATTTTTTTTCATACAAAAATCATACAAAATATAATATAATAGTTATAGTGTTATATCCGAATTACAGCAAAGGCCAAACGAGTGAAGGAGGGCGTCAGGCGTGTAGGCCAATTAACAGGTTTTTATGATCGGAATGATAGGTATAATTCTTCGAAATTATTGTTAATCTTTTTTAATATTAATGATATTTCCCCACATGAAAATAGCTTAAAGATATTTTTAACCGCGACGACGAGATGACACATGTGTTTGGGGTGTTTGTTTGTGTCTGAGGTGTGTTTGAGGTGTTTGTTTGTGTCTGTTTCCATTGTTCTCGGAAATGGCTTGGCCGATTTTGAAACGGTTGTATAATGTATAAGTCTCATTCCTGAGCATGCTCTTAGTTAAGTTTTATAATGTTACAGATCGTCAGGGGACGCTACAGTATACACAAGTTTCTCTGAAACGATTATTGAAGTTATACTTCTTTTGGCACGTTTGGAAAAAAATTTTACACAGCCAAAAAGCGACATAATGAAGTTAGCTGCATTCCTTTTACAAACAGAGAGTTGTGACATACGGGATGAAATCTTTAGCTATTTTTGTTTAGTTACGCCAAAGAAGTACAACTTGCGCACACACACACGTTTTTTAGTAGATTCACATCCTGTTTGCACGTCCCATAATTTTTTCCAAACGTGCCAAAAGAAGTATAAGTTCAAAAATTTGTTTACCTTGTATTGAACAAAATTACTTGTTTTAACAGTAACTGTCTTCCGCAGCTTTGTATGCATTTTAAGAGATAAAGTGTTAATTCAATTCTCTCGTTAACGGCTTCAAAAATAAAAGTGTCATTTAAATAGAATTATCAATTGCAATTAAATTGACAGATAAAAAAATTATGATAGTTTGACATTAGTTTTTCATTGTTAATGAAAAGTATTTAATGCATATCGACATGATAAGTGCTTGTTAACCAAATGTTATATTTACACGAATTTTTATATGAAGATAACTTAAGATTTGTTAATTATCTTACCTTATTACTTCTTAAACATTAATAAAATGGTTTAAATAATATCCAAAGTTAAGATTACTGCAACATACGTAATATAAAATTTTCGAGGCCTTACAGATTAAAAAGAAGTCAGTAAATCAGAAATTTACAATCGTTTATTTCTATTGAAATGAATATTCAAGGCTTTGCTAGTCTATGTCTAATATATCATAAATAATAGATAAATTTAGATAACGTTTTTTTTTATTTTATTGCATATGATTATAGTTAGTAATTTTCCACTAACAGAAATACGAGGTCGTATAGCAAATTACACGTGGGGACGCTTTTTGTTTATATGTACCTCGTTTTACACGTGTAAAATCCGAGTTAGGTACTTATTCAAATTCAAAATATTTTATTCAGCATTAAATTATTACAATTTTTTACTGAACGTCATGAGTCTACTACAACTTCGGAAAGAAGAAGCCTCAGACCTGAGAAGAACTGGCGAAAGAAACTCAGCGGGAATATACTTATAATATATATGCATACGATCTATTTTTGGAACTAAAACAAAACCTGTACAAATTATCACAAAAATAAAAGCGCGACTGTGTAGAAAATCAATAAAAAAATATATTATAAAAATTAAAAGCTAAATAAAAAGATTGACAAAGGAATAGAGTATTTATTATGCAGTCGCAGACATGTACGTTTCATCCTTGACACAAGATGTATGCACATAATATGTATGTCGGGTAAAAAGGCGAATCCTCTATTTCTATTCTATTTTCTCCGTAACAGAAAAATCCCTTATCTTAAGCACTTTTTATATTTTTCTCTTAGACCCTTTTTAAAGCGTCTCATTCGGCACGAACTGATTAATGCACTATAGAGTATTTATTCCCAGTTGAGTCTTTAAATTTGGCAACAAACAAGGTTTTACAAGTGAAGAAAAATAAACTGATTTTATATAAGACGTAAATAATTTCTTTTTAAATAACAAACATGACCCATATAACTTTAAATATTTTTTGTACGGCTTATCTATCTCTTTAAACAATTATTATAAAATTCAAGCGAGTATTAATCTGTTGCGAGATAGCTAAATAAAACTTTCTGGCATCTCTCCCCATTCTCTGCTGTACCTATTATATAGACATAGGCAAAATAAACCTCAATAAAATGATTGACAACACGATTTAAATAATACTTACTCAGAGTTATAAAGATGGGAACATCACATTGTTTAATGTTGACCCTCGCAATAAAGTGCCTATGTATATATCTATGTATGTATGTAGATATGTATGTATTCAGCCCTTTTTTAACGTCCCACAGCTGGGCACGGGCCTCCTCCTTCAATACGAGGGGGATCAGGCCATAGTCCACCACGCTGGCCAAGTGCGGGTAGGCGGACTTCACATGTCTTGCTCAAACATGTAGGTTTCATCAGAATATGTTAAACATGATTCGCACATTAAAATGTCAAAGGTGCGAGACCCGGGATCTGAAAACGCTACACTCTGTTTCCCAAGCGAGCCCTTTATCACTGGGCTACCACTGCCCAAGTGCTATAAGTGCATATATATATAATGGACGAAAATCTGGTCAAATGTATCGAACACTCGACGAAAACTCACGAGCCCGTGTTACCGTCGCGACGCGATAAGCTATCTGGTATTGTATTGCAGATTACAATCTAATGATGAATACTTTTAAAACATCTTTAATCTTATTTAAGCAGTATTATATGATAAAGCAGAGCTTTTTCTAACAAGCGTTTTTGCCTGTACGCCGCGGGTTGCTTCGAATCTGAAAATGAAAATTATGATTTACTAAGGTTACTCGATGGTATAGTATATGAATACTGGAGCATATGTATAAATACTCACATCTATAGGTACACCTTAATATACTATACTATTAAATAGTCTGTCCAATTTAGTTTAATGCATGCTGGTTAATGCAGAATGAAGCGCTTTCTCTCTACTTTGAGTTTATTATCGATACAGATGCCGAATCTATAGGTTTTAGATTTTTTGTCTGTCTGTATGTCTGTGTCAGCATCACGGAAAAACCACTGGAGGAATTTTGATGAAATTTGGTATGATGATATCTGGTTATCCGGGTCAACGTATAGGATACTTTTAACTGCGGAAAAATATCTCATCTCTGAGAAATCTATATTAAACGTTAAAACGTAAGTAGGGGCGAACCCGAGTGGAGCGGGGATAAGTCGCTGGTACTATATAATTTTTTTAATACTACTAACGAAGTTAACATCATTACTATCCACTACTTACAGAATTCTTTCAAACAAACCTAAAACGATCAATTTTTCCGAAGTCGTGTACTAAATTCACACAGCCAAGGCGCAGGTGAAGCCGAGGCGGGACGCGGGACGCTCATACAATGAAGCATATACCTGATATGATATCGTACGCATGCTATTTTCCAAGTAAATTTTAAAATACATAATGTTTATCGAGAAAGTGGGAAGGGATCATGTCAATATTGTGATTAATTTTATTGAAGTTGAAGTGATAATCCCAGTGACCGCGATAGTTTGGAATCATAGTTACAGGGAAAATTCATATAATACGTTATATCACGGTAATTGTTGCAGGTATTTGATAGTTTGTCATTCTTTTCCATTGTTGTTATGGAAAAATTACTGACAAAGAGAAGACGTGACGAAGCAAAGGTACATCACTACATAGACATACTTATTGCAGGATAAAAACTGGAATGGTATAGAGATAGAAATATAGAAAAACTTTTTTATTATGTGCCAACATCGATCAAAAAAGTACTATATACATACACATTCCCACGCAAAAGTTCTCTTAAAACTGTCACCAATTGTATTTAAGCAATTATTTTAGTTGAAATAAATATACAAAAATGTAAATTGAACCTTAAATGCAATGTTTAAAGTTGTTTTCACAAAAAAAATATGAAATTAATAGCGCGCTTAAATGTTCAAATGAGCGCTCATTCGGTGAGGACATTTTTTGCCACTGATTGTGTATCTATTACTTTTTTATCGATGTGTGTCAACTATTTCTGAAGTTGGATATCGTAACCTTTATAAATATTTTAAAATTCTATGATTTAATTAGGTATTTACCAAATTTTTATAAACCTTTCGCGTTATGTAATCTGTTCAATAATTTACTAAATATTTAATATAAAAATGCTGTTTTCGTACACCTATAAAAGTTTATCACCGTCGCTTGCAACGACGCAGTAGACATTTAACCTAAAGATTAATAGAGCTCACCTTCACACAGACTTTAAATACCAGAATCCCAAATAAATGATTACAATTCATCCTAAGTCCGGGTCACTTGGTTCATTCAGCAATTTATTTGACACTTTATATTATACTAACTGTCCGACATGGCAATACTGACCATTGAATCCACTCATGATAATATGTGAGAGTGCTCAAGTGGGTACTCGAAAGCTATGTAACTTTTTGGATCTAAATTTTTGGTTATAAATCAAGTTACGAAATAGCTATAAAAAACCTATCCTTCTGGTATAGGTATTTGAAACTGGAGTCTCGGAATATATATACATAATATTTAATATACAGCTATTATTCTATAATTATAATTTTATAAAATAATGAATACGAGTGGATTTTTTAAAAATTCAATTCCTTGAACAATTTTTTTGTATAATTAAAACTTAAATAGAAATATTTTCATGTACTTATATTTTTAAAACTATACGTTTTTTTAGCAGGTGGTGGTCGTTGTTTAAACGATGGAGGACGAGGTGACGTTCCTGTTCCAGCTGGGTGTCCTCCGCGACGCCGTGTCTGCGCCCGCGCACCGCCTCACACTCGCGCACCTCAAGGAACTTGCCGTTAAATTCGTCTACGAAAAGGTTAGTATAATTATAATATAATGCTTTAATTGCTTAACTATAAGCTTGAAGTATCTTAAATATGGTCTAAAAAGTGAAATCGGACTAATGTTATAAATGTGATTTGTAAATTAAGTTTGTGTGTGTGTGTGTGTGTGTTTGTTTTTATTCCAGCTCTAACTACTTGAGTTCAGTAAATATCGAAAAAATAAATAAAAATAAATATCTATATAAAGAAAAAATATAGAAATGAACAGTTTAAAATTTAAATCCTAGATAAAATCATAAGATGCTTCTTACCGAAGTTCCTACCACGTGGCAGTGTTACGGACAAAATATATTATGTCTATTGTAATAAGTTAATCGTAGCATAAAAAATTATAAAAATGTGTAAAGTTATAAAATATTGTAAGGTACTTGGTACAATTTTTCATTTTGTTAATTGTGGGTAGGCTGTCTGTAACAACTATACCTTCGAGACATGTAACACCTCAGTCTCTCCCGTGACCATGAATGCTGTAAAGCACTCGAAACGTCGGAAACTAAAAATCAAAATAAATCCGCGCAGTAATCCGAAAAGATAGTTTTATTTAAAATGTCAAATATTCGCGTAAATCTAAGAAAGTATTCTATTGTAATAAGTTAATTGGAACATAAAGAATAAATCAGAAATACAATGCTTTCCTTCCCTTCCAGATCCCAGACAATGGCCTCAACCGGCTGTCAGACCGCATCCTGCTGTTCCGGCACGACTACTGCTCGCCGAACGTGCTGCAGCTCATCAACTCCGCCACAGACGTCACCGACGAGACACTTGTGGAGATTGTCCTTACTGCCAACCGTATGTGCCTTTGAGTTATATAAACCTTGGTTTATCGACTTTAAATCTATCTAATCTCTTTAAACGAGCAATTCTTGTATATATATAATCTGAATCTCGGAAACGGTTCTAACGATTTTCATGAAATTTAGTACACAGGTGGTTTCGGGGGCGATAAATCGATCTAGATTAGTCTTATGTCTGATAAAACGCGTGTTTTCGAGTTTTTATGCAGTTTTCTTTTGCATAATTCCACACAAAATATGGTCGGTAATTTGCACGCTCGGGAATAAGCATCGTGGTCAAGCGGCCAAGATGCAAGATCAACAATCACAGGTGTCTAGGTTCGAATCTCGGTCACATACAAAGTTTTACTTTGTTTTTTTTTTTAATATGTATTCAAGTTTTAGTTTAAAAAAAAAAGAATATTGTACTTCAGGCCAAAAACTCCGAGCGAAGCTAGGTAGCCCAAGTACTTAAGTTAACGATTCAAAAGTGATTGTATAAGTCTAATTGAAAAAAGTTAATTTTAATTTCATTGGTACACATTAAACGAAGTGAAAATAACTATTTAAAACTATGTACATAGTTATATACATTTATGTTGCTTATGGTTTAATTTGACTGTCACGGTGATGAAGTAGCTGTATAACCGGAGAAGGAAGAGTAGAAGTAGTTATTGAGTCTTTTAGTTAAGAAAGTTTCAGTAACAGCATTTTTCTGCAGTTTAAATAAAATGCGATCTCACTATTAAGGGAATAAGTGGCAATAATAACATCATCGTAGAGGCAATTGTGACGCAGTAGCCGTGTTCAATAATGCGTCATATTATAATACAGGCTTCAAAGTCATTAATAGTATATGAGTACTGATAAAATATTGATATAAGTTGTCTGAAGTAAATTATATTATTACTATATCGATGCTCAACTCTTCCCTAATTCCAGCACTACTGTGTGATGGCGTGGAGCCGCCGCCCGCCCCGCGGCCGCACGCGCTCGTCGTGCACTCGTACAAGGCGCCCACCTTCTGCGACTTTTGCGGGGAGATGCTCTTCGGATTGGTGCGACAAGGACTCAAGTGTGAAGGTAAATTGAACACATAATATACATATGTATGTGAAATATCACAAATAAACCGATGAAACACCTTATTAGCTATTACGTTTTCAAACTTCTACCGTCTTTATATCCTTTTTAAACTGAACACTTTTTTAAACATGACCGAACACACTTTGTCCCTTTCACTCATTCGTTCTTTCATTCACACTTCACACATTAGTCTTAATAGCATTTAATTTAATTGTCTTTAGTTTTAACAAGTTTTAATAATTGTGTCTTTTAATTTATACACATTCATCCCACTTTTATATTTTTTTTATTTTTATATTTGTCGTGTTATCCATATACTACGAACATCATCTTTGGTGGTTACTCATCTTGTGGGCGTTATCAGGGCTCAAATAATAAAGTATTCAATGCTCAATACATAATTTAACCAGGGAAATCACAATGTTATAAACTTGAAACGGTAATTCTAATGATTTAGAGCTAGCGGGTTCATATTCACCGATCATCGACTTCCTACTACAATATCAATTCTCTATGATCCACCATGATCAAACAACGTTACTAAGCAACGTATCTCCAAAGAATGTCGTGATGGCGCTCGACCCCGCTCGAGACTTTAGATTTATTCAAATGTCTTACAGCTGTAGTGTGTATTAAACATGCAAACCCCTCCGTGTCTAAGTGAAGGAGTAACAAACATGGACTCATACTTTACATAGTCCTATTGGTTATTATACCTTGAGTTGTTCATATAATAGTTGAACTTTGTCACAACATTTTGTTTGACTTGTTTTTGTATTGAATTATATACAATTATATACTCAGGTGACGGATCCTCTATCTGCCACTGAAATTTATATATTGAATATCATTTACATTTACTTCTTTTACTTGAATTCTTTTACTTCTTAATTCGGAAAAAAGGGAATAACGAGTGAAAAAAAAAACAGTAAGCAAACTTGGATCTGAAAAAACTTTAAAAAGATACGAAAAGGGCTGAATTGTTATATTATTATTACCAAATGGTTATAAAGTAATTAAATCCTTACAAAATGTTCAGGTTGCGGGCTCAACTATCACAAGCGTTGCGCGGTGAAAGTGCCGTCCAACTGCGAGTCCCCGGCGGGCGCGGGGGCCCCGGCCGGCGCGGGCGGTGCGGGGGCCCCGGCCGCGGGCGCCCCGCCGCGCCGCCAGAGCGCCGCGCCGCGCAGCCCCTCGCGCTCCTCGCACTCACACGACGAGGACTCGCTGGTAAGGCGCCTGGCCCAACTCGTGTCCGGCAACCGAGACAACAACTAACCACTCTCTTTATATATTGACTTTTGAAAAAGAATCATAATCAACTTCTCGGACCACCTTAAGCGTATTCATTATAACTCTTTTTATATTTAGAGCGTCATATACATACAAAGACTTAGCTGTAAGAACCTCCTTCTTTTTGAAATCGGTTGAGGATGATCGAACTTCACAAACATACTGATACCAACACACCTATTCCTAAATACACACTTATACTATCATAGTTCGTCACAGTATAAAAGTCTATACAGTAGTCCCATTGATTTTATAGGACACGCTGTTTAAGCAAGGGCTGTTGTCATTTGTCAAAAATACCAATTTTCATTGCAAACCGTTTCGGAGTTAAAAGCGCTATAGTGCTATTTCGTGACAAGTTGGTTTATCGTCAACCCTAATGTTTCCCGACTGTCATATGAAAATAAGTACGGCAGTTGGTATCGTGTAATTCGCGTTTCATTCCACACGCCGCGCACCATGGCCCCGTCTACAGGCCTCAGTTAGACGACTGTATGGATTAGTAGACTGTTGCCCGATTTCACCAACAACCCATAAGCTACCACCTACGTATGGGATCCCTAGCTTAAAAGTCCCCTAAACTAGCCCCTAAATTAAATTTCGTTTTACGATCGTCTTTAAGCCCATATTTCGAGCACCTAAATTTAGGGGGCCTTTTAATATTTAGGTGACCCCTAACTGTCGGTGAAACAAAAACTGTCCCCTAAAAGCCCCCTAACCATGCTTATGGGATCCCTTAAACTTAGGTGACGTTGGTGAAATCGGGCATGTGACGCTACTGAAGACTAAGGGTTGAGTGCTCAAGGCCGGATTACTGTTAGCTAAAGGAATACGTTGTTTTTTTTAATGGAACGGTATAATTTGTTTGAATGTATAAGTACTTGTATTATATTGTTTCAATTTTTGACTTTAACGAAGTCAAAAAAGTGAGCTTTATGTTGGTTGCTACAATTTATTCCGGGGCATCCATATTTTCAAATTTAAATCCGACCCTGCATTTTATTCTTTTGTGAATGAAAATAATTTTGTAAAGAGACTGTAACTATAGTACATAATAGTAATATTTGAGAAATATTAAATAACTGAATAAAAGACTAAAATTTATTAACATATGAAGTAATTCTAATTTAGAGATAAAACTACTCGAACTGTTTCAATCTCATCTCGTCTCGATATACGAAATAGTATATTTTTTTTATTTCTCTCAAATATTGTAATACAAATAGTATTATATTTCGACAAACTATATTCTCCTTTTAAAAAGGAAATATTGATGTATAATAATTTTTTTTACTATGCAATTTATATTTTTTATGTTTTTTTTTTAATATAAAACCAAGCACTGAAAACTAATTTCAACGAATTTTTATCAATAAAATATATTTTATACACAAGAAAAAATATTCTTATAACAAGTTTTTAAACATTCCATTTTATGATTTATGAGTTCTATTGACTCGAAGAAATATATTTTATAAAAATAAACTTAATTTAACCTTAATGACTATTTAATTTTAATAATATTTAATAATTACAAAAACATGATAAAACTATTTTTGACAAGTAACATAAAGAAACTTAATTTTGACTAAAAATAAACAAAAAAGTCTTATTTGCTAAAATTAGTTGTAACATTATTTAAAAGCACAAAAAATATATACAAAATGTTAATATTATATAATATTTTTAAATAGAAGTAATGGTGACTAATAGTTAATGCACAAGGGTGGTGGGTAGCATTGGAGCAATGTAACACTTTCATACTGTTAATAAACTTTATATTAAAACAATTGCAGTTTTATTTTTCAATCCCATGGTACCCATCATCCAATGCTACTTTAGAAAAAAAATTTTTTTATTGTACTTCTCTTTTCCAATTTAAAAAAATATATATTTGGCGAAATATTAAAGGTAAGACTTATTTAATTACTTCTATTTTAAATGTAATTGAATCATCGACTATATAGCAGACGACCTATGGCGAAATTCGCAACTATAAAGTACTAGGCCCAGGTTTGTACCTAGGTACGTTTTGACGTTTAGTATGGAATAGATAGACTATATATACAAAGGTATGTAGAGTTTTATAATGCTTGAGAAATAATTGATTCCCCATACAAATTTCCACTTTGCTTTTCACCCCCTTATGATTTCCGGGATAAAAACTTTCCTATGATCTTCCCAGGGTCTCAAACTATCTTCTTAAAAATAACTAGTTTGAATTTCGAACCAGTACTTGAGGTCTAAATCTATAGTCAAAAGCATTTTGAATTTGTACAGGCGATAATTTCTTATATGTAGTTGCGAATATCGCCGTCGTTGCCGGACAATTCCCTACATTTCTTTTTATATTAACTAGCAACTCAGCCTCGCGTCGCGCGGGTTCGTCCCTAGATATGTTTTAACAGTTCCTATGGAATAGACAGACTATATATATGATATAATTATATAGCCTATATATAGCCTTTCTCAATAAACGGGCTATTTATTATTAATGCCAAAAGAATTTTTCAAATCGGATTAGTAGTTCCTGAGATTAACGCGTTGAAACAAACACACAAACAAACAAATTCTATTTCTTCATAATATTAGTATAGATAATAAGCGAAGTAGTTAGGCAATGTGATGTATATTACTAGTTTTTTTTTACATTAATTCACTCATTGAAATATAATATTGGGTCGAAGATTCAAGGTTTGTTTGATTTCACAAGTAATCTGAAGAGGTGCAATAATTAAATAAACTCAATTACATTAAAAGTTATTATTCCACTCATAGAGTGTCAGTGTAATTTTCATTAAATTTAAATATGATCATTCTCGAGCTATTCATTAAAAGTCATTCAAATCAGTTACATTACACGATAAACGCTCTTCGCAAATATACGAAAGTTTCAAGAACTTCCTTAAATTAAAAACGGTTAAACTTCGCAAACATCTATTCCACTAGACAGACTAGTAATAGCATATACTTAGTGGTATGAAGCGTGATAAAGCAGTGGTAGCCGAGAGGTAACACGCTCGTTTGGGAAACCGAGTAAAGCGGGTTCAAATCCCATATCTCGCACCTTCAATATTTTCATGTGCGAATCATTTCCAACATGATTACCACTTGTATTAACGGTGAAGGAAAACATCGTGAGGAAACCTGCATGTCTGAGAGAACCTAGCAAGTTTTCGTAAGACATGTGTATTGTGTAGTCGGCCAGTGCGTGGCGGTGGGCTATGATGATTGTGGGTGTGTGGCGACAGGCGAGCGCGGGCAGCGGCGCACGGCGCGCGGCGTGGCACGCGTCGCTGGGCATCCCGCACACCTTCCAGGTGCACACGTACACGCGGCCCACCGTGTGCCGCCTCTGCAAGCGCCTGCTGCGCGGCCTCTTCAAGCAGGGCCTGCAGTGCGGCGACTGCCACTACAACGCGCACCGCAAGTGCCTGCCCTTCGTGCCCAAGGACTGCGGCGGGGAGGTGCGCGACAATCATGGTGGGTCACCGTTCCGATGAAAAAACAAGCTTGACTTTAAAAAAAAAGAATAAAGAAAGTTCGTTTTGGACAATGTTCATTGTGTAAGATCATAGATTAAGAATTGTGTTGTGTTTTCTTCGAGACTACTGAAGCTGATTAGAAAGTAAAGACATTTTTATGTTTTATATATTTCCCAATTTGTACGAAACTCTCTTACGCCATCTTAACATGTTTATGAGTTTCTATTGAGAATAAAAGTGTTAATAACATTTGCTAATGTTGCCTCTAGTAGTTACCAGACATGAGACGTGAGCAGTTATTTATTTTGGTTCAAAAATAAAACCTAGAAGAGCTCAGGCTAAATAAACAAAATTGGAAGCGAAGCGTACCTTTCTCACCTATAGATCCATCGTTGAGCTATAAATTTGTTAGTTAACATTCATTCCTTTTGCGTTCATATAAATACACGCAGCGTTTCTAAAAACTGCAAGACTCAAAGGCGAAAATCTCTGTTGCGTCACAAGTTTCAACAGTATCGCGGCGTTGAACCAATAGGATTATTTATTACGCCCACAAATACACAGATACCATATTAATTTATAAGAAAATAAACCCTCATTTCTACGAACGATGTAGGCGAGAACCATGACAGCTGCAGCACTAGCAGCGAGGTGTCGGAGCCGCGCGCCGCGCACGACGACGATTCGGACGACGACCACGACCAGCGACACGACCACGGCCTCGGACGAGAGGTGACCATTAATGTTATACCTCTGTCTGTTACAAGTTATATGTTCTTATGTCTAATCAAAATATTCTTTTCAAGGAATTTTAAGTACGCAAGTCCTTGAAGACGCCACACTGCAAGGAACTACTGTATAAAATCTACTATATCTTCAGATATTGAACTTAGACTATAAACACTTACAGGCTAGGCCTCAGTTTATCGTTGGCTATTAGCGGTCTTCCTGTAAATTTTACTCTCTTCTAGTAACTTGATTAAGCGATAATATTAGCTGCCGTTATTTGCAAAATAAAGCATATTAGGACCCTTTTAAAACTTACCTTAAAACCCTATGACCACATTTTTCTTTTATCGACATAAAAATAATAAGAATGAGAACTTATTTTCTTCTTAGAGTAGAAATCATTTCAAAAAAATATTATTGTTATTATTACTTGTCAACCAAGTCTATTATATCAACGATTTTTTTCATATGAACTTCCGTTTCCATCTTGTGATTTATTTATAAAATATTATTTGATTTTTGGAACGTAAGCTTGACGGTTTGAAAGATCTAACAGTTGATGTAATTTTTATTGATATTGATGGTCTAAACCATAACATTTCATCTCTCATCATCATGACGCGTTGCGTCCTACCGCGAAGAGCTGGACCCTCAAGTATCGATAATCTGTTAGATTTTTGGCTGATAGCCTGAAAGAGTCCTCTTCAAAAGTTCTCTTGGCCAATTTTACAAGTAATATGATTGCCCTCAACAGACGCAGTCCCAGTTGAGGGAGGAGGAGGATGAGGAGCCGCAGCGCGACGTCATCCCCGAGCGCGCCGCCAGCCGCCCCAGCAGGTCCAGGTTTATATTGACTAAGTTTTCTAGGTTACTCAAGAGATAAACTGGGAGGAGGCCTACTTCTATGGGTGGTATACCATGCGGGTTGCTCCTGGTACTTCTCTGACAGCAGAGTGGATCGTGGGAGCAACCTTTGGTTGTGTGATGGGGTTTTAGTGGGTAGTACTGGCTTGTCTAGCCGGTGAGTCCCACATAACCACCTGGTTATGTATGCAGGTGGTATGCGTAAATGCATTTCCCAATGTTAAAAAAGAAGGTTTTCTAGGTAACTAGCTTTTTAGCAACTGGTTCTTCGGACTACAATTATAAAGGTATAAGTTTGTAAGTGTATGTTTGTCATCCCTTCACGCTGATAAGGCTGTACAAATCCGTACAGAAACGTGAAATATAATTCACAGATTAACTATGACCTGGAGTTAACATATAATCGGTTAGACATCTAGGGATGCACTCGAACGAAGCTAACGTAAGTCAGACTAACTGACATATAAACAGTTCCTCATAAACTTGCCCATTAATAATATTAATATGATTAATCTAACAAGTGTCGCAGTCCTAGTCCTTGCAATAAACTAGTATCCTGCTGGATCAACTAAATATTCTATGAAAAATAGAAAATTTACAGAATTTAAAATCTAAAATTTTATAATTTAAAAAAAATATATTTTTTCTGTAAATCTTTAAAAAATATTATTTCCACAAGATATTTTCCCTCCCACAGCTCATCGTCATCTCCGAGTGCTAACATCCCGCTCATGAGGATAGTACAATCTGTGAAACACACGAAAAAAAATGACGGACAGTGGCTGAAGGAAGGATGGCTCGTACACTTCACAAATAAGGATAAAACTGTAAGTCTACAGATAATGAAGAGTAATTTAAGTTTTTTTTTTTTACTTTAAAACAATTATACAAGTCAAAAACGAGGCCATCATATTTAATTTATAAAAATCCGTTCTAAATGGCACATAGACATCGAAATCATCTTAAATTATAACATTTGTACGATCAACACGATCATTTATCTTATTTGAAAATCAAAGATGGGACTTCTATTATCAATTTTTTTTAAATCATAGTTCCTTCTTATTGTCTGGGAGCCTACCTTTGGCCTAACTCTAGCAGCTTACCCTAAAAGCTATCTTCGCTAGCATCTGTTTACGAAAAACGTTTGAAGTGTTTTAAATAAAAATTATCTTTTCGGATTATACGTGGATTTATATCGGTTTTAAATAATATTCAACTACCTACTTGTATTTTTTTCTCATTAAGTGAATGTTTTTGATTTTATCGCAATCATGATCAATCGCAATCGAGAAATCCAGTAAGGTAGTTAGTTCTATTTAAAATGTGAAATATTTACGAAAATCTAAAATGATGATTGTGCTGAGTATCGAGTATACAAGTGCTTGTGTGTGGACGCAGCTGAAGCGGCACTACTGGCGGCTGGACAGCAAGTCGGTGACGCTGTTCACGTCGGAGCACGGCACCAAGTACTACCGCGAGATCCCGCTCAACGAGATCCTCGCCGTGGACACGGCGCGCACGCCGCACTCAGGTCGCATACATTAATACCTACATATATACATACACAAATAATTCATTGTTGAATATTTACATAGTATAAAAAAAAATATATTTTTGAATATATTAAAAAACTAAAAAATATATTTAATCCCTCCACGACCGCGGACACGCTGGCGTTACAGATAAAAATAGATTTCTTAGAAATTTTATTAATTTCTTAGAAATTTACCTGGAGGTGATATTTATTCCCCTTTTCACTTCCTTAAGGGATGATTTCCGGGGTAAAAATTATCCTATGTCCTTCCCGGGTCCCAAACTTTCTCTATAACAAATTTCGTTTAAATCGGTTCTGTGTATTAAGCGTGAAAAGGTAACAGACAGAGTTACTTTCGTATTTATATATTATTATGGATTAAATTTTTAAACCATGTAGTATTAATGTTACTGATCGTTGTTTATAATTGATAATTCACCAAATTTTTACTGTTCTTTTATTTATCAAACAACAAAAAAAATTGGTGAGCTATTTTCTATTTACTTTTTATAATAATTAATAATAAATTTATAAAAAATAATTTAATATAATTTAACAACCTTCGTTTTCGTCGTCTGTGAAGATTTCATTCTGTTAATATATTATGTTTGCGAGGCACGACATCGTAACTTATTGAATTTCTTTGAAATCCGTCCGACTGTTTAGCGCGTAAGAGTAACGTACATATACACACGCACAGAGGTGATGCACTGCTTCGAGGTGCGCACGGCCAACGTGGACTACCTGGTGGGCGTGGCGGCCGAGGCGCCCGCGGCGCGCGGCGTGGGCGCGCACCTCGCGCGCTCCTGGGAGACGGCGCTGCGCCACGCGCTGCTGCCGCACACGCGCGCCGGTACACCTTTCATTTATTACTTTCAAGTTTTAATCTTTGATCTTATAATTTATATAAGTCTGATGGGCAGACTGTGACGACGAAGCCCAGAGATTTACCATTTTGTAGCAAAAATTATATAAGATCTGGATTTTCCGGCGAGAGAGGTGATTGTATAAGTACACAAAATTTTTTTTTATCAAAATCGGTCATGCCATTTTTTGTGTATTTAATATACAGATATATTTTAGCAATACTACTAACTCGTTGTTTGTGGGATGATATTATCGCGTTGCAGTAACAATAAAAATATATAATTATTTATGACCAGAGGCTCAGTGCATTAAATGATTTAATACAATCTTAAATATAGCAGAATATTCATAACCGATTACAGGTTGAAATTATACGATATTTTTTATATATGTAATATTAAATACCCTAGTGTACAAATATATGCCTATGCAATTTACCCAACCTGTTGTTCTAATAACTCATAACACGCTTATGATGTGTGTGTGTCTGCAGAGGGCGCGCCGGTGGGCGGCGGTGGCGGCGGCGGGGCGGAGCGCGGCGCGGAGATGGCGCAGCTGTACCAGATACACCCCGACGAGGTGCTCGGCTCCGGCCAGTTCGGCATCGTGTACGGCGGCCTGCACCGCGCCTCCGACAGGCCCGTCGCCGTCAAGGTACAGCCTCCACTGTTACCGGCCTCCTGAGTCCTGACTGATTGTTTTGTCTCACTTAGACCTGCCATCTGTGGGGAATGTGTGCTATACGCAGACGCAACGTGCAACGTGATGTTTTTTCCTTTTATTATCAAAGGTCATTCACTCGCGGTTAGAGATCGGGTACAGGAGTTAGGTAACACTTGCTCTCTGGGGCATGGGAATGTAGCATCGCCAGTTTCTCAATTACCCTACTAATAAGAATTTCGTGGCAAGAAATCCTACTAAGTATACTTAACCCCATCCAGTCCAGCTATGCAGCTAACATGATGGTCGCAAGACCAACAATGCAATAAACTCTCATCAACATGTGGATTTCACACTAGCGAACTTTAGCTACCAGACATTTAAATTAACGCAATTATATCCATTTTCTTTTCGACAGACTTTAAAATACAGGAGATACTCAATTCGAATGTATGTGGATGTATATGTTAGAACATGTTAGTCAACCTAACTTTTCCAACTCAGGTGATAGATAAACTCCGTTTCCCCACCAAGCAAGAGGCCCAACTGAAGAATGAAGTGGCCATCCTGCAGAACCTCTCGCACCCCGGTGTGGTCAACCTGGAGAGAATGTTCGAGACGCCGGAGAGAATATTCGTGGTCATGGAGAAACTGAAGGGAGACATGCTGGAGATGATCCTCTCGCATGAAAAGGGCAGACTCACTGAGAGGGTCACTAAGTTTTTGGTGGCACAGGTAACTTATTCGTTTTGAATAAAACTTATTATGTCCAGCTTAAATCGAAAGTTTGTGTAGGCGTGTCTTGTAAAATCGTTTTTTTTTATATAGAACGCAATTGTTATTTTAAACAATCATGTGACAAATATTTATATGTAAACATTTTTTTTTCAAATTAAGAGACTCCAGTATAGCTAAACAAGCAGACGATATAGATATACCATGATGATATAATGTGTAGAGTTATAATACTTATCGTGCTACTGTTATTAACAGGTAAGTGTGTATGTGTGTTCTTTACTCCTTTATGCTTATACGTCTGGACGAATTTGAATGAAATTTTATACACAAATAGGTTATCACATGGAGTTGGAGCAGCGACTCGAATAAGTCGCTAATATATAATATACAATTTGAAGACACGTTTGGCTCAGTTTGCAGTGACCCTACTTGATGTGTCAGCGGTCGCGGGTTCGAGTTCCGCTGGGGGCCTTCATTTATTATTATTCATTCATTTATTACCACGAATATTTGTACTGCAGTCACGAGTGTTTATAATTATTTATAATTACGTATGTCATGAACGAATTAGCCACTGGTCCCGACATAAAATACAAATGTATGCAAACAAGTGACCCGTAACGCACACAAAGATTTTATTACATTATTATAAACACGTACACAGTACATAAAAATTCACTCTATTTCTAGTGCTTGAACGTAATCGATAAAATACATACGAGTATATGGATGAACGAATGAATGACATTTTAGACATTATTGTTTTATTTTGCGCCGACAATCAAAAACCCAGAACCTTCGAATGGGAAAGAAAAGGCGTATCATAAATACGCTGTAAGACAAAGGAAATAAAGGGAGAATGAAGGTGAGGTAAGCTTCCAGTATTGATATTTTAACTAAACTAAAATAAGCAGGGCATTGTTATGATTTTTTTATTCAATTATAGTTATTATAGACATAAAAATTTTTGTTAAGCTTAAATTATGTAAATAGGTTTCATCATCAGCTCTTTTTATATCGGTAAAACATGTATCGGTAAAAACAATGTTGGAACTGCATCTTTTTCGAGCTTTTTCTGTTTCTTTGCATTGTTATTAAAACAGGCAGTTTCGAAATGTACACTGCATTGCGCTGTGTTTCTTTGGAATCCAGGTGTCATCTCTACGAACTGCTTCTACCCACTTTCTTTCGAGAAGGGTCACTACGAAATCTAAAATTTTGTGTAATTTATGTGTTAAAATAAAATAATCTTTATTATTATTACAGTGGAATAATATTCCAAAGTATATAAATCTGGTATAAAATAAAAAAAAACAGTTAAGTACACATACTAATTATAATTTTTGCATTTATAATATTTTTATTTAATTATAAAACATATTATTATAAATTTATTGTCATCAGATTGTAGGATACTGTGATAAAAGTAATGTTATTGTACTCTTCAAATAACATCATTCGTTCAGTTATTTCGTCAAATATCGATATATTTTTCGACATTGTCAAGCACTAGTCGATGTCAAATGGACTCACTCGACAGTTTTGTCATTCGTTCTGAATGGTATAATCCGGCCATTTTATGATGGTTGTTAGAATATGTCAACACTACATAGAAATATCGACTATATTTAACATAGTTGGATAATACGACATTTTATTTTACATTTGATTAAATTTTGTAATAAATAACAGTAAATGTAATAAAGTAATGTACTTACAAGTGAAAATAAATAGTGCTGCTTCCGCCAACAGAAAGAACATTTAGTCATTTTTGGGAGATGTTTTGTTGACAAGTAAGTGCTTGAGACTGGCCCAAAAACAAACGATCAAGGCTAGAATTCTGTTACTGACAAGATCGGTAAAGATACGTCCGCTTATATGTCGGGTCCAGTGGCTAATTCGTTCATGTGTGTAGTGTATCAACTGTCTGGTATCCATAACCCAAGTCTCGTAGCTTACTATGGAACCAGATAGCTGTGGCTGTGTGTTAATGTCCCAACATATTTATTAATTAAATGTTACAGATCCTGGTGGCCCTGAAGCACCTGCACGAGAAGAACATAGTGCACTGCGACCTGAAGCCGGAGAACGTGCTGCTGTCGTCGGACGAGGAGTTCCCGCAGGTGAAGCTCTGCGACTTCGGGTTCGCGCGCATCATCGGCGAGAAGTCCTTCCGCCGCTCCGTCGTCGGCACGCCCGCGTATCTCGGTGGGTTCCATGCTTCTTTCTTTGTCTTTCTTCTTTTGGATTTTATCAGATTACTGTCTTTCTAAGTTCTGCTTTCCATTTTTTCTTTCTTTTTTTTTTGGAGTTCAGGTGATTAGTGTACTTTGTACGTTTGATGATAGAATGTATGGATTTAAAGTATGTTTTTGTTATTTTTATTTGAAGTAAATAAAATATGTCGACCTCGATCACTATATTTTATCATCGCTATCTACCTTATTGTTTTTATCCTCATATAAAGAAAGAACATAATATGTACAGCTTCACCCGCAAGTACATTATATTTGATAACATGAATGCTTATGGAAATATCATCTCAACAAATAAGAAAAAATATTAAATTTGTTTACGAATGGGTAGAACGTCTTTATTACATTAAGGTGTTATTTATTGAATGATTAACATTACATCCATACAATATCGACCTTGCGTGTATGTGTGTAACGGTGCAGCCCCGGAGGTGCTGCGCAACAAGGGCTACAACCGGTCGCTGGACATGTGGTCGGTGGGCGTGATCGTGTACGTGTCGCTGTCCGGCACCTTCCCCTTCAACGAGGACGAGGACATCAACGAGCAGATACAGAACGCCGCCTTCATGTACCCGCCCGCGCCCTGGAGGGAGATATCGCCCGAAGGTGACTTCATACGTTCATTTATTTTATAATTATTATTTTTTGCCTTTTTGCGCAGAAAGAAGGTTTTATGTATTGGTCTTAAATAAGGTAGCAAATGGAAATGTTTCCCAAAATTTAATTTAAATGATGATGATTCTAAGGTTTTAATCCGGATTGTTATAAAAGCTTCGGAATACATCCGGCTCGGAGGACCAATATTAGTTTCCGTCCGTTGACGTTGTAACATAATGTGATCCTATTGTCGGTGTGCAACAGCGATTGACCTGATCAACAACCTGCTGCAAGTGAAGCAGCGCAAGCGGCTGTCGGTGGACAAGTGCGCGGCGCACGCGTGGCTGCAGACGCGGCAGGCCTTCCGCGACCTGCGCGCGCTCGAGCGCCGCGTGGGCGCGCGCTACCTCACGCACCCCAGTGACGACGCGCGCCACGCTGAGCCGTCGCCCCCCGCGTCCCCCGCGCCCGACGCTCCCGCGCCCGCGCCGCGCTGACCGTGAGTACGCCCCCCCTTCCCCTGCCGCCCTGGTACACGCGCTCCCCGCGATTATGTCTCTCCTCCTATCTCATTCCTCTTTCACTCTTACTTTCCTTCTCTGTCCCTCTCGCACTTATTCTTTTTCTCTTTGTCTATCTTTTTCATTCGTTAGTCAAAATTTATGAATGTTTTCGTCCCTTCTTCATGCACATAACAGTTCATTTGATTTGAGTGAAATCTAGAAAAAATAGATTCTATCCTTAATGAGCAAAACACAAAAAAATAGCATCTTTATGAACCCAAAATACTTAAATGATTTTGCATTTGTATTTATAGAAAAAAGGACAAGCGTCTGAGCGGCGTGCGCACGCGCTGGCGGAAGCTCCTCATCAAAGTGCGCTGATATGACACTTAACACAGTGGACGTACAGTTGACTTTAGTATACATGTGACCAGGATTTTATAACGAATCGTGTTTGTGTAAATGTGTGTCTGTCCGTATGTCCGACGCAGCTGTTAGCCTGTAGCAAATTGTTTTGTATAGAATTTAGTTGGTGATTGCAATGCATACTACATATGAATTTAGTTGGTGATTGCGATGCATTTATACATATGAATCGATTTATTTTTAATATTGCTAATTATTCCGACTGGAGTCATTTGTATGGGTCTTTCCACACTCATTTGTAATTCTGTAACTAAAGTATTGACTGGTGAACTGATTTCCAACGATTTTTTACGAATAAGTGTATAAAAACCAATAATACAAATATATATATATATATATATATATATATATATATATATATATATATTGTATGCTACATACAAAAACAAGTCCAACAACATTCCCATAGCACATATATTGCTATGCAATTTTTACATTGTGTGATCGTTTAGTTGTTAAGTTGCATAAGGCGAATATGAAATACTATATGTTATATAAATGTGGTGGACTGTTGTATGTTTGTTTATACGCTTTTGTACAAACGTTTAATGGCCTAGGATGGTGCGTTACTGTAGTCTAAACAAATTGCCTCACTTAGGAAAATGCCCTTTTAATGCTAAAAATTAATTTTAATCCATTTTTCTTTGTATATTTTATATACTTTTATATATTATTAATATACTTAATAGTTTTTGCTAGTATGGGAGGTAGACCCTCGCTACTTGTTGAAATAGTGTCGTGTGTGGCCTCGAGCAAATCATTAATAATCTATATATATAAAAGAAAGTCGTGTTAGTTACTTCGCTTATAACTCAAGAACGGCTGAACCGATTTAGCTGAAAATTGGCAGGGAGGTAGTTTAGAGCCAGGAGAAGGACATAGGATACTTTTTATCCCGTTCGACCGCGTTCCAATTTTTATGATATTTTAATTTTTGGATTTCTCTTAGTCCGGAATAGGTAAGTATTAAAACATATAATTAAAATGTGAGAAAGAAAGATTTTTTCTTTTTATATCTATTTAAAACGTACCTAGCGACGAACCCGAGCGAAGCGAGGGTGAGCCGCTAGTATATTATAAATGGTTGCTACATATATTTTTATATATAAAAAAATGTAATCAAAACAAAAATACAGAGGGAAAAAATGTGAGTGTTAAATGTCATAGTTGATTTGTTTTATTGTTGGTATAAATGAATAAATGTTTCGAATGTTAGGTCCGTTGTTCTAATACGAATATTTACTTTTTTTTAATTTAGTGTCTAGTTTCATAATACACAAAGATACTGACATTATCTCTCTTTATAAATAGAAATTATAAAATTTCTCTAACGACGCATTTAAAGAATAAAAAGTCAAAGTTATTTTTTTATTCATAACGAACAAACATACTTACAAGTGTGGATGTATATTAAAAATATAATAGAATATATATCATATTTATATAATTCGTAAATTTTAAATCTTCTTAAACGTTTCGACTCTGCGCGGTCTAAGTCTTATAACTTTGCCGTATAAGTATCAAAAACATATTTTTATCTATACATATACCTAAATTAGGTTACAGTGAAACCTTTATTTTATCAATATTCATTTATCAAACACTGAATTTACTTTTTAATTTAAAATTAGTTTTCAAAGTGTACATCTATGTATGTAGATTCTAATGTTTTATAAATAACTAGCGACTTACCCTCACTTGCTCGGGTGCATGCGTAGATGCGTTTAAATTTTTTTGAGCGGAACCCTAATTCTTTTTCTAAAATAATATATCTGCTATCCGCCAGTGAAAGTCCCATAAAAATCAGTCCAGCCTTTTCGCAGATTAGCCGGAACAAACAGACAAACAAAAACTTTAACAATTGTATTTTTCTTATTAGTACCGTATATCATTTAACATGCATTTAGTAAAAGCTGTTATTTTGACATTTCAAACACACACTTCAATTTTATATATCTGTATAGATTAACATGTATAGATAAAAATAAATATGAAATTTTTCTATCTTACTGAATGTCTTTCTCATAGATATGTAGAATAAGTTAAGGGAATGACGTCCCGTGGAGCGGCCTAAGTAGCTGTAATTGTAATATTGCCGAAATATTTAATAATAAAATAACCGATTATATAATGAATATTCCAACAAATATCTTCCACTAAATGTTAGTTTTGTGCCAATGGTTACAATGTTTTGTAAAAGTTTTATACAATTTGAACATGTTATAGCGCATAGTTAGTGTCGATCAGAACCTATCTAATACTACTGTGTTGTTAGACCCTTACTGGGGAAAAACGAGGTCATGATTGTAGTATGTGGCTGTCCCACTGGTGCAGTGGCGTGTACGGCTGTGTTAGAGCGGTACTAGGTTCGAATACCGTTGGTTTTTTTCCTGTTAGGAATTGCCATCAGCATTCAAACTATTTGAGTTGAACAGTACGTTTTATCTCTTCGCGATTTGAATTGCTCTTAATATACACTATAACATATTAAGGCTAGTTCCTTCACTTCCTTGACCATAATCGGGAGGACTCCTGCCCCTGTACGCTCTCCCTCTCTCATGCATCTGTCTCTTTCTGAACTACTTATTCTGTGCAAAATAACGAGGGCTTCCAGTGCCAATGTAATGGGAGAGAAAAGAGATAGAGATAGTCACTCGCAGTCTAATTCACTCCGTGACACTACCACCTTTCAGCGGTAACAATATGGGAGTATTGGATATGTGAAACAAATACTTATTATTATAATATAAATCGTTGAAATTTATGGTAGGGCTGTTTATATGGATGTAGAAGTTTATACATAATAATAATACGACGTTAGATATTCTAAAATTAATTCTTATTTAATTCTAACTGTATAACCATAACTTAAACGTTGTTATTTTTTAAACACTTAAGTCACAATATGAAGAAAGCTTCATTTTCACAAAGCATTTTTTTATGTTATTTTATTTTTCTTTTAATATTAGTTTTATAAAAAGATGCCTAATTATACTCTATTTTATCTATATTTGAGAATAAGTAAATAACTTGGCCTAATTTGATGAAATCAATAAAAATAATATTTAAATAGTAGGCATAATATTTTTTTATAAATTACATAAAATGTTAATATTTGTATATTTAAGTACTCATTTGTAAACAATTCAAATAACTTCCAATGCAATCTTTCGTTCTCTGTGATCTCTCATTTTTATTATTTATATTTTTAAGCGTTAATAATATTTTTCCTTCATGGAAAGAATATTTTTATATTGTAGTTTCTATTAGGAACCATACGACCATGGTCGTCAGCTTCATTAATCTAATTCCATACCGCAACTATGCTAGTGGTCGCGTGCGACCACGACTATGGTCGCCAGCTACGATAGACTTATTTCATACCGCAACTACGCCACCACTACGCACGACCACGGCCTTGGTCGCGGTCGCTCAGTGTGTATGGTCGCTTATAATATTATAATTGATTTTTTTTTCTTACACAACAATATTGTGCGGTTCAACATAGATTTTTTTTTCAACAAACTTAGCTTTTTAACTAAGGCTGTGAAAAACGGGACAAAATAATTTTCCAAAAGTTCTATATTAGGTACCATTCTTTTTGACGATCTGTTGTTAAACTTTTTTACTTGTACTACTTTAACTAAATAGTGACAGGAGTCTTTATAGCTTTAATTTTTTCCTACTATAGTATTATTTGCGCATCACACTTTACTCGTATTTTTTTACATTTTTAATATATTTTAATGGCAACTTTTATATTCTTTTAATAATTAAATGCACAAAGTAATAAACTATGTAATAATTAAAATACAAATTTAAATTTATATTTTAATTATTTCACGTTAAGGACCAAGATGCTGTTATATATTTTGGTAACACCCGAACCCAGTGGCAAATTTTAGCACCTTAATTAGTGATAACATACAAAAGGCTGTTTACAAAAATAACTCACACATTTACGTACTTATAATATATTTTTTTTAATTTTATACGATATAGTACGCGGACATGTCGTCTTTTATATTGTTAAATAAATGTATTTTTATGTAAAATAAAATTAATACCCAAGTCCAAATGTGTATGGACCATAATCGTATATTAGGTAAATAGAAAAAAAAACAATAAATTGACGATATTTTGTCTGTCATTGGAAAAGAAATGATTGATAAAGATTTTTTAAATGTTATTTGTAATAATAATAATAATAGCGAAATGCTTATTTCGTATTTTTTTTAAATATTTTCGGTAATTTCATTTGTCAATTCATCAATCATGAATGTTGAGAAAAAATATGCATTTATATGTAAAGTCGATTTTTTAATGGATTGTTATAATTATTTACGTAATTTTATTAAGTCTTATTAGTTAAAAGGCAGCTCTCAAATACCCGCGGTATTGTCAACTCGTAATCAACCTGTGCATATTCATTTTATAATAAATACCTACCGTTTTAATAATTACATTGGCTTTTTATTTAAATTTCCTCTTAACGTTGTTATTTAAAATCTCAGTTATGATTTGAGTCTTGAAAAATATTACAGCATGGAAGTAAAATGTGACAAAACAATATCGTTTCTAACATCACAATCAGGATACGTGTTATTACTGTACACATTTTTTGGGCGTTTTCCAATTACAGCACTGAAGTGCATTATGCGGCATAATGCTCAACTTCGAATTTTTCAACTATAGCAACGCTCCGCACAATTAAGCACTTTGAAAAGTACTGCTTTAACGTGAACAACCAACTCAGTAGTAGTAAATATATGAAGTGTTTTTTCGCGTTGTTCGTTTTTGTGCGGCAAAGTGCGGCATTATGCTCTGTAGTTGGAAAAGAGGGAATTGCGCGATATCTTTTCGAGGCAATGCAACATTTAAAGACACTGAGCCGAACAGATGTGGCCAGTTAGAGTCGTCAAAATTACACTGTAACTTCAGTAATTAAAGTTCTTTAAACTTATAAGCATTTTATCTTTTTCACTCTGAACAACTAATAACAACTATGTACTGTTCTAACTGGGACGGTACATATACATACATATAAAATTATTCCGTCTTACACTCCGCTGCAGCGTAATGTTAGATTTAAGCATTTATCAATTTTATATAAATATACAAAGATGAAGAATTTGTTGTTTGTTATTCTAAAGGTTACATGTTACCTAGGTGTAAGTTTGAAAAAAGTGTTTAGTTTTTTGAGAACTCAATAATAGTAGGGGAGCCCAAGAGGGGATTTTTGCAGTTACTCAAGCATGCCAGATTAACATAAGGGGAGATATCTTGCAATCTGCTTAGTACTCCCACCATAATATAAGTCTTGTATATATGAGCGCGCGTCTAGGGCAGCCGATCAAAGCATTAAAAATTTTTTTGATAAGGTAGAAAGAAATACTTGAAACCGTCAGATTGAGGTAGGTATGGCTCCGCAGGGGTGTTGCAGTGAATGCGCAAGCGATCCTGCACACCCCATTGCACTGCGGCGACGGGTTCCGCTGTGGGTTTTAGTGAGTAGGAGTCTCACAGTACCCTACCCATTGACGGCCGGTAAGGTCCCCATGATGGGTTTCCCCAGCGTCAACAAAAAATAAATAAAGGTATGGTGGGCTAATTACATCCTGCAAAGTGTGCAATTCAATAATCTGCCGATTTCCACAAGCCGAAGAGGCAAAAATCGACTATAATGTTTATATACGATATGTTAACGTTCAAAAGTGGAAAAGGGAACTTTATTGCTATTTTACTTTTATCCTAATTGTAAATACGCTTAGGAACCGTTAAAATTGTCAGAGTTTATCGCGTGTTTTGAACGAGATCGTCTTCACGCACCGACTGTTTTGAGTAACTTAGGTGTGACATGTAAAATTAAGGGTCACAAGAACGTAAAAAAATCTTATTTAGCTAAGCTTTAGTGTATACCATATAATTCATCAAGGGTCTAAAATTCTCCATCCATTAAAGCCCCACATTATTATATTTGTACATGAAAATATCAGAGAAGCGTTCCAACTGAGCTACCACTGCCTCAATACTTTATTATATTAACCCATTACCAATTTAATCCACAATCACTTAAGTGTAGGTCCCGCTTTATATGTATGTGTGTCTGTAATTAAGAGCTCAAAAGATATTTTTAGATTATCTTGGCCGATTGTTAGACGACCCAAATCTGAATACTAAAAAAATACCCAAAAATGATTCATTAATAGTTTTTGCCGAAATAATTGCGTTTTATACAAATAGTAAGAATTTAGAATAGAGAATGTAGGTGACTTATAACAATATCTTTAATTTATAATATTTATATATCATATACATATCACCTACAGAGAGTAAGAATTAATAACTCTTTTAGTATTTTTTACATAATAACAGCACACAGCCCTGCTCTAGAGTTTAACTACCCATATTGTCTCGCACCTTGAACTTCGTCACACGACAATTCACAGACATATGAATAATGTCAACGAAACTACACACGTTACGTGGCTCATGTTTATTCCTACTTTTTATATCACAAATAACATGCGATTGGGTGGAAATAGAACAGAATAACTACAAACCGTATCGAAAACTGACCATAAATACTGGCTACGACGACCATAAAAGTCAAGTTGTGCCTCAGAATGAAGAAACTACTAAAGAGAATAAGATTTACAGAAACCATTCAGTGGAAAAACTGTGGAGTAAAGGATTGGTTGATAGAGTGAGCAACATCGGAAACATAAAAAGAATACAAGGGCCCACAGTCAAAACCACCGCAATTAAAGCAAAGCAGGAAGACACTGAGTTTAGTAAGAATGCACCTGCAACGGAAAAAATGGGTGATACACACAAATATCGTGAACGCATAAATATTCCGCAACGGCACTACTATACGAACCGGCCACATATATTAGAAGTAAAAAATAATCAAGAAGAAGATTTTCGAATTAAAGAAAGTAAACATGACAAAATAACTAACACTGGTATCAAACTTGCATCAAGTATTAAGAGTTCAGTTAATAATTTTCAATATGATAATTATAATGAAGAGAAAGATCCTGTTGTCAGTATTAATGCACCAAACAAAGTAAAACAAATGCAAACTCTCCGTAAAAATCTATCCACAAATGAAAAGACAAAAATCCATTCGAACGACGAAAATGATGAATATTACAACTCTAATTACCAAAGAGTTCAAATCGGTCAACGAAGAACTTCACCAAGACCTAATATTTTCAACATTGAAGAGCTAACTGCGAAAAAACATAAAACAATTAATAAATCACCAAGCATTGAAAACTATGACGTACAAAATCTAGACCAACTTGATGACAATAAATATACCAACTTTTCTTTATCGAGACCGTTTGGAGCATATATTACTAAAATAAACAATACAAATGAAAATCGCAACGATTTCAAAAAACGCCCAATGATTATTAAAACTGATATTAACTCAGTCCCTGCAATAAACAATGAAGAAGAGGTACCAGTCCACCACCAGTCAGTGACTGAAGAGATGCCTACTAACTCTGAAGATATATCAAAATCAAAGAAAAAGAATCCGATGGATGGTATGTTGAAACTAATGAAAGTGGTTTCCGATACCATTTACAAAAACACACACAGAAGCTTCAAAAGTAAAGTGAAGTATTTGGAAGGACTGAAAAGCACTATACTGACAACAATAGGTAATAAATATTCTTTGATTAATTTTTTCATATTACTAAAGCTCTAAAGTCTAAAATATCGCCCTTTGAAAGTAGGATAAATACAAATCGTGGACTTAACTCGAAATTCTTGCCAAAAAAATGCCTGCTTCTTAAAATCTATTAGTAAAAAATAATTCAAATAATGGTACAGAGAGAGGTGACCGATTAGATCCAACTTGTTTTTGTAGCTGACCTAAATATTCACTCGTTCTAAGCCGTAGGTATTAGGTATTTATTGAATAAATTAAAATAATTGTTTGTTATATTATAGAAGGCCACGTAGACACTTTATGGCCGGACGATAAGGACCACACACGTCACACCCGCGAGGCTCGAGGGCACCTGGAATTCCCCTCCTCAGAGAGTGCTCTTATGTCGATATCTTTCTTAACATTTGCTGTTTTCCTTATTAAATTGGTTTTGGTAAGTACCTAATTGATTTTTTTAGAATAGCAATCCGTTCAAATCTTTCGCATTTCCTGGCACCCGTATTAGAAATGTGCGCTCAGAAATTAGGCTTGTCATACTCCCGTGAACCGAGTGATCAACTACTAATTTTGCTAACTATATCTGTTATCAGTTCGCAATTATTAGTAACTTATAGCGACTCAGCCTTGCTCCGCTCGGGTTCGTCCCTAGCCCTAAGGTTAGTAAAGATTTCTTCGGATGTAAGATATTTTCCCGCAGTAAAAAGTATCCTATATGTTGACCCGGATGACCAGCTATCATCATACCAAATTTCATTAAAATCTGTCCAGTGTTTTTTTTCGTGATGCGATGCGATGAGACAGACAAAAATTCTAAAAACGATAGATTCGGCCTCTGTATCGATAATAATGACTATATCAAAAAGATTTTCCAAAAATACTTAATGTACAGATTCGAATCGGTTAGAATTTTATTATATGTATAGATAGATAAACAAAATATATTATGTAATTGTATGTATTGCTACTGCGCTGCCATTTGCAACGTGCTTCAAGGTGGGGCGAATACAGGGCGAGTGAGTTCTGATACTTGATCTATTTACTTGGCAGCAAAAATGTATTTCGCACATTATTTAACATGAACAATGACATCAATGCGTTGGATGTTTGACCAAAATTTAGTTAGTAGGTAATTAAGATATAGTGGCGATAGTACCTAAATTCTACACAGCAGAAAATAGAAGAACAAGTCGTGGTGGTGGAACAAGACCTAAACAAACATTTACATATATATTACAATATAGGTTTTAGCATAACATTGTCTAATACTATGTGTTATTGAATGCTAGCAAGTGATCCATACATACAAAGACAAGACGATGTTGGTGGCGCCGACAGTGGTGTCAGCAGTGGGACGCGCTGCGAGAGCTATTCGTAATCAACAATAGTACTAAGTACATGTATGTTACATTAAATAAACCATCTGTAAAACTAACCAAGTTTTATTTAAAATAATCATAAAGTACCAGAAACTTAGCACTGCATACAATATGAACAAACAGACAATCATTAAAGGATATAAGTGGGTAGGTTTATCTATGTAGATAGTTAATACTTAAGTAGTAAGTACATTAAGAGTGTAGTAGAGTTCTATTAAATTGTACAGACTAGCGTTTTTTCGCGGCTTCGCCCACATATTTCATATAGTTTTGTAATATTATAAACTTTAGTTATAGACTTTATGTTACTGTGAAGTCTGATGTATATTACTATAAAGTGTCATCAAAATCCGTTCTGTAACTTTTGCATAAATGAATAATAGACATACATGCTCACAAACTTACGCGTTTTTAATATTAGTAACGTAGATTCTTAAAGTATATTGTATCTACAGAAAATACGATGACCAGACTCTCAGCATTGAACTATATTATAATATTTTAAGGGTATATAAAATATAAATTGACTAATAAGAGTAAAACAATTATAAAGAAGCAAAAGATCAACATGTTACTTTATTAATATATTAATTAGGTAAACATGGGCGCGTGCGTGCACGTTGGTACAGTGCACGTGTGTAATTTCTCGATTGCATCATCTAAGTTATTTATAAAATAACATAAAAAATAATTAAAATTATCGATTGCTACTGAAATAAATTCGACTTATTAAAACTATTAATTTGGTATTTATGATTTATTACATATGGCAATTGGCAACAAAATATATTAATATTTTCATAAGGACGGTAGAAGTAAGGAGGACCATCTCAGTGTATTAAAAAGTGTCCATTGAAAGGGAGCAAATTGAGGTGGCGCTATAGTAGCAAGTGGAAGAATTTTAAAAGGAGCGCCACAAATTATTAGAGTAGGATACTAAATTAAAAAAGGAAAGGAGAGACATTATTTTTGCATTAACAACAATAAAAGCATCAAAATAACAAAGATGTATCAACGAAATTTCATAAACAACAAATCTCTATGTACGTTATTTCAGGAGTTTCACAGGTTACTATTCACGAAATTACAGTTGACTACGTAAATAGTTGAGAATTTAAATACTGCATATTTCTTAACTATAGAAGTCAAAAAAAATATTACATTTTTCAACCCAGCTTCACTCTGTTTATAACTGCTAAATTCTTATCATTTTCATTTCCTACACTAGCGCTATTTCGGTGAGTGTTAGAACAATCATTTGCTTTTACAAGTGGACACTTTTTCAACTAATCCCCCATACAAGACGGTCCCTCTTACTTTATACCCTCCACTTATTTTCCTGTCGAGTGTCGTCGTCCGTGGATGGCAATTATTTTATTGACAGCTTTATTTATTTGTCAATGTCATCCATGATTGGCAGCTCGATAGTCTATACTCTATACTTTAGTTTATACTTTTAACTTTATATATGTACTATGTAGCAATATACTCTATGGCTTTACCTATCGGCCAGTGTTGGATTTCGTAGTATAATTATACTATTTGTACCATTATTTCATAGTGTGTAGTATGTAGTATCGTATTGCCAATATACTACGTAAAAGTACCATAATTTAATCTTTAGGTCGACCGACTTGTATTATTGGTGAGTACTTTTACTTTTTAATATTAACTCTACAATCTTAGGAATTTCTGAACGTACGGCAACACCAAATCAGGCAATGACAAGGTTGGCGGGGATTCCCCATGTGATGTTTTACTGTTTCATCCGTTCTGACAAGAAGGATTTATAAATAACCGTGAGAGAGACGTTATCATGTTCATAGCAATATTTTGACTTAAGTATAAAACTTGACAGTGATTTGTTGCAGTATAGATACATTAGTATAAAGTTTTAAACTAGTACAAATTGTAGTGTGTGACGTGTGTACATTATTGTTTCTTACGCTTTGACAATTTTGAGAATAAACTATTTTGTAGTCGCAATTTGTAATCATGAGTGAAAGTGAGAGCGAACAAGAGTGTGGTGTTTCGACGCCAAAGAAGAAACGCGTTGAAAGAGGCGATTTAAAAGTGAAGAAAAAACATAGACAACAAAAATACGGAGTCGAATGGGAGAGTGATCCAAAATTTAGTAAGTGGCTTACTCGTGATCCTCAAGATAATTTCAAATCACGATGTAAAGTATGTAATGTTTCAATGATGGCCGCAAAGCATGTTTTATCGAATCATTCTGAGGGGAAAAACACGAGAAAAAATTATATTCATAATCAAAATTGTATATTGAAAGTAGATTTGTTTAACAAATTCTTTTGCATTGTTTTTTTTTTCTCTTTCAATTTTAATACTTATGCAAGTTTATTTCAATTCAATACAAAAACGCCGTAAAACGAAACGTGAAAAACATGAAACGTCAAACGTAGTATAATTTTGGACAAGTAGTATAATTTTATTCTCTATGTACAATATTTTTTTGAGGCTCTGGATCCAACCCTGCTATCGGCTATCGCTTTGCAATTTGCATTGCATACAAATTCAAAAATTATATTTCAACAAATTATTCATCATAACAACGTTGGCTTACTGTTGTTTATATTTAATTTGTCAATGTGCTTTAAAAATATATTATTATGAGTACCGTAATATCACAAATAAACTATAATCGTAGGCATAATAGCGCCGGCCCTAGTACCAGTTACCTTGGTATTGATGGTATGAATTTTTTATTGTTATTATTAATGAGCATAATTAAAACTTATAATATTTAATATTTGTAGTAACAGGCTTCTGTTTAATTACTACGGTAAATAATATTTATTAAGTACTTTCGTAAATTAATATAAGATTTAAAATAAGTATATAGTAGTATTTAAAAGTAATGTTAGAAATATATTAATTTTAGATGTGCGTGATCTATCGAAAATTTGTCGACTCTGCGGGATAGTCCCACCCGAGCCAGTTATCCCACTGTTCGGGCAAGAATGTCGAAAAAAGCAAATTTCAGAGAAAATAAACCAATATTTGTCTATACAGGTGATTAATATTACAATTATCTTTTATGTATATTAATTAAAGTAAGGCTAGTTGTTCACAAGATTTCATTGGAAATACTTTATATTTGTTAGTTTATGTATGCAATTATATGGGCTGAACATTCAGTATTGTTTTGAAATAACAAAGACTTCAGTTTAACTTACCTACTTCAAAAAGAGGAGGAGGTTTGGGCATAACTTCTATGTATATGAACCAATATATATTAATTTTGTTGTTGGAAAGGACATACCTCAAGGGCGATCCCATAAAAATTAGGTGATAATCTGATGAATGGAATTGCACCCCTAGAATTTCTACCATTCCATTCCAAAAAAATTACAGATATATAGATTTATGGTGCACACAAACCACATCCTCATCATAAAACTCCACATTCGATTAATAGAACATGTTAAAATTTGGAAAATTAGGAATTCCCTTTTGTCCAATTGGTTTGAATTATTTATTAGTTTGTTAGACTTCATATAAAAATTGTAATCAAAATTACTTAAATGGCTTAAACAAATATGTATCTTATTAAAATACTTTCTTCTTACAAATTTGCTACTACTATGTCTACACTAAAAATAGAAAAATTAAAACCAAAAAAAAACCAACTTCAACACTTAAAGTAAAAAATAACTGATTGGTAGTTTTCATTAACTATAGATACCTAATCAGAAATTTTCGAAGTCGGTGCTACTTTTTGAAAGACAAGAAGTCTGCCTACCCACACTTGACCAGTGTGGTGGACTATTTGCTGATCCCGTCGTATTGAAGAGAGGCCCGTGTCCAGCAGTGGGACGTCAAAAAGAGCTGAATACAAATGATTTCTTATAATTAAATTAAACCCTTACAGGTTGATGAAATGGACATGCTACCAAAAACAGTGTGCCATAGCTGTGCTCGACTTATTGTAACATGGCACAAATTTGCAAACCGTAGTGTAGAAGTTGAAGCAAAATTAAAACAAAGATGCAATGTACAGCAACAACCTATTTCAACAAATGAACAAAGGGCAACAAATTTAAATGTAAGCATTTTATAATTATTAAAACTTTATAAGTCTTCAGGATACCTTACAATATATTTCATTTTTACCATTATTGTTTCAAATCAATTCTCTTGTTATTGACTTCAAAACGACCATTGTTGCTTACTAGATACTGCTAAAAACAATTATAACCTGGAGTACTATTACTGTATTTCTACTTCACTTCATGTCGTATTTTTTTTTTTTTTTTTTTTTCTCTGTGCATATCTGCGATCAGCCTTTGGCTATGAGCGGATCTGTTGTGAGTCGTCCATGTCGTGCCGAAGAGGCTCCTCATCAGGAGACTTTTCATTCCTCACCATCTGTCGCCAACTCCCTGTATATCATGGCGTTTCAGCCGTTTAGTGTAGCTAATGTTTGACAATGCGGTAGCTAGGGCATTTGGGTGATTTTCCAATCGAGTTCTGTACTTTATCCCTGTTAACTTTATCTCCTCCTTAACAGTTCTTGTGTTCATCGCTTCATGGATCTCAGAGTTCGTCACAAACCATGGTGCATTTGCTATGGTTCTTAAGATGCGATTTTGCATTCTTTGTATGATGTTTAAACTAGAGTCGCATGCACTTCCCCACAGTTGTAAACCATAGGTCCATATTGGCTTCAGAATCATTCTGTAAATTAGGAGCTTGTTGTCGATAGAAAGTTTCGAGTTTCGTGCCATCAGCCAGTAGATATTTCTGAACCGCATGTTTAGCTCGTCTCTTTTTGCTTTGATGTGTTTCTTCCAAGTCAGTCTTTTATCCAGGTGCATACCGAGGTATCGGACTGTGTCACATTGTGGTAGGGTGACATCACACATTTTTACTGATTCGCAATTGCCCTTCCTAAGCGTAAATGTTATGTGCACGGATTTTGTGGCACTGGCCTTTATTCGCCATTTCTGGAGCCATTCAGTCACTTTGTCGAGGTTATTCTGTAATATAGCAGAGGCGACAGTTGGGTCCTTGCTGCTTGCGAGTAGCGCAGTGTCGTCGGCAAATGTAGCCGTGGTAACCCCTTGTGCTTCAGGGAGATCAGCAGTGTAGATGGTGTACAAGACGGGTCCCAGAACAGATCCTTGTGGTACTCCCGCCATTATATCATGAATATTAGATAGCTCTCCATCTTCTCTAACCTGGAATATTCGATCTGCCAAGTATGATTCCAAGAGTAAATAGAAACTATGGGGTAGAAGTGCCTTAATTTTGTATAGTAGGCCTTTGTGCCACACCTTATCGAATGCAGCCTGGATATCCAGAAACACAGCAGAACAGTACTCCTTGTTTTCAAAAGATGATCTAATTTTTTCACACACTCTATGCACTTGTTCTATGGTAGAGTGCTGCTGTCTAAAGCCGAATTGATGTTTCGGTACGACTTGGTTTTCATTGAGTATGGGTAATATTCTACTCAGGAGGATCCTCTCAAACATCTTTGACAGCACAGGCAACAGGCTTATGGGTCTATATGATGTGGCTTCCTCTGGGGGCTTTCCATGCTTGTGGATCATTGTCACTATGGATACCTTCCATAATCTAGGAAAATATTGTACTCTAAGCACACCATTGAAGAGCGTTACCAGAAAGACTAGTGCCTTTCTGGGGAGTTGTGTGATAATTTCTTTGGTGATGAGGTCAAAACCTGGGGCTTTTTTATTTTGTAGCTTATTTATGACCCCTTTCAGCTCCCGTACCGTAACTGGTCTTGGCGGGGTGGACAATTGTAGATCTTGCTGCAGTGCACTTTCAACTTCGTTTTCAGACTCGATACTACTACTTTCATTCGGTGTAAAGATGTTGGCAAGGTGTTGTGCAAACATGTTCGCTTTTTCTAAGCTTGTCCTAGCCCATCCTCTGTTTTTTTCTAATAGGACATTTGAATTGTTGTGGTCTTACCAGTGCCTTTGTACATTTCCAGAGTGAATAGTCAGTTGATTTTGTGGCCGTTAGGTTTTCAAGTTTATTTTGTATCGTGGCATTATTCACATTGTCTATTAGGATTTTCAGTTCTTTAATAGTTTTGTTAAATGCTGTCTTGTCCCTTTTGTGTCTAGTTTGATGCCATATTCGACGCAACCTTCTTTTCTCTAATATTTTGTGTTTGACTTCAAGAGGAATATTTCCAGCCGATTGACCATTTTTCGTTGGAATAGGTGTGTTAACCCAACAAGCAGTTTGATGAGGTTAGTAATATATTGAGTCGCTTCATCTATCTCATCAGGCGTCTTCAACGGGACTTTTAGTTCGATGTTTTCTTCAATATAATCTTTGAAGCCCTCCCAATCAGTGAAGTTGTTATAGAGGTGTTCAGGTTTATCATAATGAATGATTGTCGTACTAACAGTTAGGAAAACAGGCGTGTGGTCAGAATTACTGTCTAAGCAGGACTCAGCCTTGAGGTAACTTCTCGAGAGTCCCTTGACTATGAAAAAGTCCAATAAGTCTGGTCTTTTGTTTGGATCCGCAGGCCAGTATGTCGGTTCTGTAGACGAAATAGAGTTCAGGTTCTTTTCTTCTAGGCTTAGCTTTAGTTGCCTACCTCTAGTTGTTGTTAGCCTTGAGCCCCAGTAAGTGTTTTTGGCGTTCCAATCTCCACCAGCCACAAATTTTTTCCCCAGTGTAGCGAAGTAATCTGAGAAGTTTGTTGCGCTTATTGTATGTCTTGGTGGGCAGTATACTGCTGACAAATTCAGTTGCCCACAGCGAGTTTCGACTGAAATTGTGGTTGCTTGGATGTGGTTTGTCCTAAATTCTGGTAGCACTTGGTGTTTTATTGACTTTCGTATCACAACGGCTGTTCCCGCATGACCAGTTCCGTCAGGATGATTAGTCACATAGGTATTGCATCCTTTGATGTTAATTTTGCTTTTAGCTGTGCAGTGAGCTTCAGAGATAAGTACAATATCAAGCTGGTTATTATATATCAAAAGTTCTAATTCATTCTTGTTCGGGAAAGGCCATTAATGTTCCAGGTGCCAACTCTTAGTGCAGTCATTTTGAAATTTTTTCGACTAGGGTGGCTATGAGACTTATGAGAGTGCTCATCTGTTGTAAGATTAATTCGAATTTCTCCGATTGTTTGATGAGTAGTTCTTCTATTTTATTATTTAAACTAGTTGTAGGAGTTGGCTCGAATTCTTTCTTTTTAAGTATGTCGGAGAAGAGAGGTTTTTCTTGTGGTTCTTTAAGGGGTTGTGGTCGAGAGTCTACTGGGACAGTCCTTCTTATCACTTCTTGTGTTTTATTTCTGGAGGTTAGATTCCTGGTCATACGTCTTTCAAGGATTTCTTTATAAACCTCGCAGCCTTTATAATTCGCTGGGTGTGCGCCTTGACAAAGGGCACATTTCGCTGGTGTGTTGCGGTCTTTTTTTGGGCAATCTGCGGTTTTATGCCCCTGGGCACACTTTACACATCGGTATGGTCGCATGCAGTAGTTTTTCGAATGACCATATTGCTGGCATCTTTGACATTGTGGCAATGTTGTTTTTTTTTTTGGATCCTCGATAATAACTGATTGGTGGTATATATATTTAATGTCCTTCACTGCTGCGTTGTTGGGGCCTGGGGCGATATTGACAAAGAATGTGGACGTTGGTTTTTTGTCTGGTCCAAACTTAGAGTTTATAATTTCGCCATGGACTTTGTTTCCCGTCTTTTCGACTTCTTCTTTGATTGCGCTATGTGGGGTTGTGTGGTGCAGGTTTTTTATGACTACTCTGTAGCAGCGTTGGTCTTTTAAGTTGAAGGTATGCCCTATGAGGCCTTTGCTTCGAACTAGAGTGATGACATTTTTATATATTTCTATGTCCTTGCAGACTACTCTCAGTTGGTTTCTGTTGACAATCTTTATTGTAAAACAGTCTATGTTTACTGTAGACTCCAGCAATTCTACAAGTTTGTTGACGTCTTCAACTCTATATAGTATTATCGGTGGTGGTTTGCTGGGTCGTTTTTCCATTGGCTCCTTCACGGGTTCTTTAGGGTCAAGAGGTAGCTCGCTAAAACTATTGCTAGTTGTGATTTTTTCTGGTGAGGGGGACTGTAGTTTTTGTCTTTTTCGCTTTTGGTTCCTGGTTCCTGGAACCCTTTGCCAGTCCGGCGGTTTTGGAACAGACATATCAAGATTACTGTCTTGTAATGATGTGGTAGTTTCTAGCTGCGAGATGTTTCCCAGTGATGAACTTCTAGTTCTTGTGAACAGACTAGGATGGAAGGCCTGTTGAATATATCGTTTTCCAGTAGCATTCACTGAAGCAGAAGCCTGGTTACCCGCTCCTGCACAGTCTTCGGTAGCATATTTCACACCATAAGGCCCGGGTACCTCATGGCGCCGGGGGTTAGCCGGATCGCATGACAAATCGCATTCTTCCTTTTCCATTATTCCATATAAAGAGAGTGGGAGAATAGTAGCAAGTGTTCCCCATGTACCTGATGGATCGGTACAATAGTATGTATAAGAATGGTAAAGAGGAAGGGTTGTCACGGTTGACGTTCAATATTCAAAAAATATATATTTTTCTATTCATTTATATCATGTGCCAACACTACCCCTTAAACGAATATAAAAATATCATATTCGCAACTTACACCTACCACTTATATCTTTAAGTTTTAAATAATTTAGATATAAGTTTCTTATGCTTCACAATACATAAGGGCTTTGTAAAAACATCAGCTAACATATCTTCAGTACATAGATAATCTAACTTAACTATCTTCTTATCAACCAATTCTCTAATAAAATGGTATCTGATATCGATATGCTTTGTTCTAGAATGTGATATAACATTAGAACATAATTTCTGAGCAGACTGGTTGTCATTATATAAAGTTATTTTACAGAGCTTACCAGTACACTCATTAATAAACGCTCGTAAAAACAAAGCTTCTTTACAAGAATCAGAAACCGCCATGTACTCAGCCTCAGTGCTCGAGAGCGCGACAGTGCGCTGCTTACGGCTTTCCCAGGATACTATTGATTTACCAATACAGAATACATACCCTGTGTAGGATCTCCGATCCAATTGGTCTCCGCCCCAATCAGCATCGGCAAAACCTAAAATTTCAAGATTATGTTTTTCAAAGATTAGCGAGTATTCTGAGGTGCCTTTCAAATACCTTAAAACCCTTTTCGCAGCTTTGACATGACTCTCACCATGGCAATCATTGAATTGGCTCAAGTAGCTGACACTGTGAGCGATATCGGGTCTGGTACATACCGCTAAATACATTAAGCAACCAATTAAACTCCTATAATCAAAGTTGCAATTACTAACATTTCCCTCTCTTTGCAACTTTAATCCTACTTCCATAGGAGTTTTACTTCCTTACAATCCGCCATTTTAAACTTTGTCAATATCTTCTTTATATAGCTGGATTGATTGAGAGTATAGCTACCGTTAGGTAATGTAGTAATTTTCATACCTAAGAATTGATATGCCAGTCCTAAGTCCTTCATCTCAAATTGTTTCATCAACTTTTCTTTAATGAGCTTTCCTTTCTGAGATGTCTTAGATGAAAATAACAATATATCATCAACATAAATAGCTATATACAAAATTTCTTTACTATCGTTATATATATACACGCATGGTTCTGAAGAAAACCTCTTAAAGTGTAATTTCTTAATTAAAACATCATTAATTCTCTCATACCAAGCCTTAGCTGATTGTTTTAATCCATATATTGCCTTGTTAAGCTTATAAACCTTATTCTTATTATTATCAACAACAAAACCTTCCGGTTGTTCCATGTACACATTTTCCTTTAAAATCCCATTTAAAAATGCTGTTTTAACGTCCAAGTACTCAATTAACATATCGTACTGAGTAGCTAGTGCTAGCAAAATTCTGATAGTTGAGTATCGGACGACAGGAGAAAATGTTTCGTGATAATCTATCCCATATTTTTGAGTAAAGCCTTTTGCCACCAAGCGAGCTTTGTACTTTAAGATCTCTCCATCAACCCCTCTCTTCTTGCAAAAAATCCATTTGCATTTTACAGGCTTATGGCCTGGAGGTAGATCTACTAAAGTCCAACATTTGTTTGTGATGAAAGAATCATACTCATCTTTTATCGCTTGTTTCCAATGCTGTGAATCACTGCATCTCAGTGCTTCCTCCACGTTAACAGGTAAGTCCTCCTCATGCATCTCTGTTAATCCAGCGAACTTATATGATTGAGCTTCTTCAAATGACAGCTCCCTAGAGTCCTCAGAGTCAATGCTTGATAAACCTGGAACATAAGTGGGGTCGGCCGAATCATCTGAGGCAACTAAATCTTCTGTTTCATCTAGATCAAACATAGTTTGCCTGTGAGGATTTATTTGGCCAACATTATGACATATAGACTCATCATTTACTGATGCATTTGACTGTGGAGATAACTGAATAGTTTTTGTAGGTAATTGTACTGAATTCGGACTTAGAGTACTATCTACAAAAATCTGTGAACTAGTTGAGTCTAAACCTAATGAAGTATCTTTATTTTTATTAACTTTACAACTATCACTATATGTTACATTTTTATTTACAAATTGGTTCTCCATGAACGTCACATGCCTCGCTTTAATGCACTTCTTTGGACAAAAAGGATCTATGAGCCTATAGCCTTTGCTATCATCACAATATCCTACAAAAATATATCTTTTGCTCCTAGGGTCCAATTTTCTAGCATTCTCAACGATGGCATATGCTACACAACCAAAAACTCGTAAATGTTCAATGTTCACCTTTTTATTCGTCCATTTTTCTTCCGGTGTTACTCCCTTTATTGCCTTAGTAGGGGAACGGTTCTTCAAGTATACAGCCGTGTTAGCAGCTTCAGCCCAGTACCGTTTCTCTAAACCAGCGTCCTGGAGCATGCAGCGGGTCTTATCCATTATCGTCCTATTTGCCCTCTCTGCAACACCATTTTGTTGACTACAGTGTGGAATTGTAGTTTGATGCTTAATTCCATTTTCTTTTAAATAGGCCTGAAAATTTACAGAATTAAATTCTCCGCCATTGTCACTTCTAAAAACCTTTATTTTCCTACTTACTTCATTCTCTACCATAGTTTTAAATAATTTAAATTTTTCAAATACTTGACTTTTTCTTTGAAGAAAGTAAATAAATGTTTTTCTTGTGAAGTCATCGATAAATGTTACAAAGTAACGTGCTCCACTCCAAGAAGGTGACTGCATAGGACCACACACATCTGCGTGTACCAGTCCTAGAATTTCGGAAGCCCTACTTTTACTTTTCTTTGGAAAAGGTAGCCTTGTCTGTTTACCTTCGAGACAAGCAGTACAAGGAATGAAAGTAGTATTTTTATAATTCATACCTGATACAATACCATTTTTCATTAAATTCATGCTCCGTGCATTCAGATGTCCGAGCCGCTTATGCCACAGTTCCTGTGATGCTGAATTCTGCACAATCGCCAGTGTAGAATCCTTGCTCTCATCTGAAAACACCGTACGCTCGCTCCCCTCACGGACTGAGTTCATAGCAATCCCTGATTCTTGTTTTCTACTGTATTTCCTACTGTATTTCCTATTATACATATTTACAGTTTTAATAATGTCGAGTTCATAGACACCATTTCTACAAGTACCAGTAGCTATAACCTCCTTATCGTGCATAATTTTACAACCTAAATGACTAAAAATAACATAATAACCTTTCCTACCTAACTCACTTACTGATAATAAATTTACACTAAGTTCAGGTATAAAATATACATTATTTATAGTTTTAGTACCATTTACTAATTGTACCTTTACTCTACCCCGACCTTCTGTTGTTAATTTGTCCCCATTAGCTACATTTACCTCAAGTGACTTTACATCCTGATAATCATACATTAGATCTTTATTATTACACATATGATGAGTAGCCCAGAGTCGATACACCACATATCACTGTGAAGATTCACACGTAATGCAGACAGTAACGACGCCTCAGGATTCTGCTTCCCAGTAGATTCTTGTACAGAATTATTTTTGTACACTTTCCTTTTACTGGTACAGTCCTTCTTCATATGTCCAGGTTTTTTACACTTGAAGCACACGACCTTTGAGCTCTTTTCTTTTCTAGTAGCTAATGCGTTGACCCCATCTTGACTCTTGTCATCTCGCCTCTGTTGCTCCTGCAGTAACTTTGACTTGACCACCTCACTTGTGAGTTTCATATTAGAATTTTCTAAAGCCATTATCATGGGATCAAAGTCCTCGGTCAAACCACTGAGCATAATTACAGCTAGAAATTCATCGTCAAGTGCGGATCCAATATCTGATAGTTGTTGCCCAAGCTCCGTAATTTTTAATAAGTAGCTTTGCATACCTTCCGTCTCGCACAGTTTCGTACCAAATAGCGACCTCAGTAATCCCAGTCGTCTGCATAGTCCCTTATCCTCGTAAGCACGCTCGAGATTATGCCAGGCTTCATAAGGACTCTTTGCATTGCGTACATGAGCCAACGCTGATGGACCGACGGACAAACAAATTTTTGCTAACGCCTTTTGTTTTTTCTTCTCGTCTTTTTCATCTTCATTCATTACGCAATCGAAAAGATCTTCATGCATTAAAATCATTTTCAGCGTAAACTTCCAATGATTATAATCTTCTAAGCCCTTTAGTTTTTCGACGGGCATATTATATGACAATGCCGACGCCATGTTTTATATTTTTGCAGATACTTTATTATATATTAATTATTTTATATATAAAATTTAAATGCAAATACTATAAATATACTGAAAATATGCGAATATACGAAATTATTTTAACTTTAATCAACGGCCTGGGCCCATAACCTGATGGATCGGTACAATAGTATGTATAAGAATGGTAAAGAGGAAGGGTTGTCACGGTTGACGTTCAATATTCAAAAAATATATATTTTTCTATTCATTTATATCATGTGCCAACAGTACCTGCCCTCGGTCTTATTGAGGATATTTAGTCACTCATGGTCTCCGATGACCAGTTTGATGGGTTAATTGACCGCCGCCCATGTCTCGGCGTTGACGAATTTTTTATGGCCGACCTGTTTAGATGTTCCACAGGTAAGTTTCGTCATTCTAGGCCAACCCTCCTCTTTTCTCATCCGGGCTTGGGACCGGCAAAGGCAGAGTTATGTCATGTCGTATTTAAATATACAGTTTAGTGAAGTCCATGTAAAAATCTATTATTTTTACAGGAAAACAGCAACAATCAAGCTGTCGATACCTACACATACACTGCGGATTCTTCGAATGGCATGTTAGTATTCAACTTTTTTTAAGTTTCATTTCTCTACATTTTGAATATTAAACTACCGTGAATTAATTCCTCAATGACGAATGTCAAACAACAAACTCTTGCTTTATTACTTTCATAGTACTCTTTAAATTAAAAATAATAATTTATGTAGTTAAAATTATTCTAAGTGGTTTAATATATTGATATTTTATATAAAATTATGTAGAATATTTTTAATCTGTCGTTATTTTTTTTGTGAATCTACTATTTCAGGTCACCAGACACATATTTACTTTACTCCATTGTAAAAAACGTGTTGACTGACGATTATTTTAAGGCTTTGGACATTGACGAGGATAACTCCAATTTAGAGTACGTCTGCCAAATATGTCCCGGCAATCCCGCCTCCAGGTCTATCGAACATTTGTGTTCTCATATAAAATCTACACATTACTCCAAAACTACTGATAAACAGACCATAGAAGAGTATATAAAGGAGAATATAACGTTTGAAGAAGTCCTCGGTGATGACATGATGACTGATGATCATGAACTTGAAAGAGTAAAAGATGTGATAGAATTGCCTAATTTCTTTTGTCCTTTTTGTGACAATGCTTTTTCATCGCCAACTCGTCTTATATGTCACTTGAACAAACATATTGAGGTTAGCATCGAGGACGGAGTTACGTGTTGTGATAACCACTATCCAGATAAGAAAACGTTTGTCGCCCATTTGCAAAAAGCACACGTAAATAGACAAATTACGGGAAAGGTAATATGCAAAAGCTGTGATTTCACAGCCAACGACATCAATGAACTACAATCACACATAATCCAAGCTCACCCTGAGAGTAAAGACGATTGCGACAAACCAAAAAAAGATCCGAGTCCAAAAAATCAGAAGTTCATACCAGCAGTCTGTCCCGAATGCAATAAAGTTTTCTCTAATAAATATAACATGCTCGTTCATATGAGAAATCATAATAAATCGACCACCAAGTTTGCGTGCGATAAATGTAGCAAGAGTTACAAAAGCCAAGGGAGCTTGTCTCATCATCAGAAGGTGGCTCATGAAGGGTTACTTCGGTTTCCTTGTCCATACTGCGGCGAAGCGTTTCCTTCCAGGATGACCAGAAATATTCACACTCGCATTCACACGGGGTGTAAGCCATTCTCGTGCAAGTATTGCTGCAAGAGTTTCAGAGCAAAAAACAGCCTGGACCGGCACATCGACATGCATTTAGATATACGGAAATACGCTTGCCAATTTTGTCCGAAGAAATTCAGAAAACGCACGCACCTCACTTATCATTTAAAGACGCACGAGACGAAATCTCAGTAACCGAAGTTGTTTGTTGCAGATGGTCACCCTACTCGGACCAAGACGAAAGTTACCGGGACGCTTGTGAGGAAAAAAATATTCGGAAAATTGCCGAATCTGAGAGCGACTCTATCGCTTCAGACGATGAACCTCTCGCGAGCTTGGCAAATAGAACGTCGACTCGAGATTTGTATCAAGACTTTTATAACGCTTTGAAGAAATTTCGGGACCACTTCGTGAATGACCACCGCGGGCAGTGTAATTATTCCGACTTCTCCGACTCGACTGAATCAGACCATGAAGACTTAGAGGAGATGGATCTTAATGATTTCGATGACTTAACGGAGAGTAATATGAGAAAGGACAGAATGGACGAAGAAACTCGGGTCGAGCTAAGTGAAGTGCAGACTAAAATCAACGGCAAAGTGTATTTCACGTGTAAGATATGCGGAAAGAACCTGAGCTCGTCGCACACGTACATCTTCCACAAGCGCATCCACACCGGCGAGCGGCCCTGCGTGTGCCACGTGTGCGGGAAGCAGTTCCGGGTGCCCAACGGCCTGCAGCGGCACTTGACGGAAACACATTTGAAGCAACGGCGGTATATTTGCGTGGTGTGTCACAAGAATTTCGCCAATTCTCAGAACTTGAAACAGCATATGCGCATCCACACCGGCGAGAGACCGTACGTGTGCTCGCATTGCGGCAAGAGGTTTACACAGAGCGGGTCTCTACACGTGCATTTGAAAACCCATACAGAAATCTTTCCTCACAACTGCGCGGATTGCGGCGCGAAGTTCAGGCTACGGTCTAGTTTGAAACGACACAGATTAAAACACACGGGGGAAAGACCACACGTGTGCGTTCATTGCGGGAAAGGCTTCCGACAGAAACATGAGCTCAACAGTCACATTCTGACCCACACGGACACCAAACCCCACGCCTGCTCGGTGTGCGGCGCCGCCTTCCGCCAGCGCCGCGCGCTGCGCCACCACTGCAAGCGCCTGCACGACGCCGACGCAAGGGACCTCACGCTTATGGGCTATAACAACATGCCGCACTACGAGTGATCAATCTTGCCTTATATATTAATCGAAATAATCAGAAATAAAATTATTTTTAATTACTAATTTTTATTTTTTCCTTTTAATTCTTTGTCTTTCAAATATTAAATTCAATTAAATAAAAAAATCAAATAATAAAAAAAAAATGCAAGTAAATAACAAGAAATAAAGATGTTATTACATTTATTTTTCCAGTTTGTTCAGTAACGTGAAAAAAGAGATAAAATCCGAGACCGCAGATAGTCAGAATTTAGTTGTTAAAAAAGATCAATCTGTCACAAATCAAAAAGAGAACTTAGGAAAGCCACAAACTATTGTAGTAAAAGATGGCAAAAGATATGGAGTGTGTAATATTTGTAAAAAAAATGTGTTGACCGCTTCTTGGAAACGTCATCTACGGTCGCACCAGAGCGTCAAGAGGTTCAGCTGCCACACCTGCGGGCTCGGCTTCAACGACAGCGGCAACCTCTCCCGGCACACGAAAGCCATACATTCCGAGCACCGCCCTCACACTTGCCATATCTGTCATAAAAATTTCTCTAGAAACAGTCACCTTCAAGATCATATAAAATCACATTCGGATACTAGAGAGTACATTTGCGACGTGTGCGGTAAAGCTTCCAAATACAGCGCCGCTTTAAGAATGCACAGGAGAATACACGAGAACGACTATAGGTTTCAGTGCATGTACTGCGAGTCTAAATTCAAAAGGCGCGGGCAGCTGACGGCGCACGTGTCGGTGCACACCGGGGAGAAGGCGCACGTCTGCGTCTGCGGCAAGACGTTCCGGCTGAGGAGTCAGCTCACGAGCCACGCGCGCCTCCACGACACAATAGTGCTGTGATAAGTTTAGTGGTGTTCTGATCGAGCGGCTTTGTTGCAGGTTCGTATCGGCGCTGTTTAAGGCACAGGTGTCGCGTGCGAAGCCTGACATGTGCCCACCGCGCCGCGCACGTCTTCGGCTCGCACACACTCTTCCACCTGCACTGCGACGAGTGCGACGCCTATATAGACAAGCCAGAGTACATATCCCACAAGAGCACGCGTATGAAAAAGCCATGCAGAAGGAGAAACAGGCGGAGAAAATCATCCAGAAAGCTCTGGACGTCAACCTCGCCTGGATAGTCAGAAATGAGTTCTGCAGTTGCGACAATCTCATGTGTAATTTTAGTAGAGAATTAGGATTAAAAGTGTGTTCAACCTATGCAAACTATACATCGGACAATTTTGAATCCTATTTTTTTTATAAAATGACGCAAACCATACGTGGCACGTTTGAAGAGCATTACATTAATAAAAACGATCCGTTTTGCAGGAAGAAAGTGTTGTCACTGCCGAGCAACAACACGAGTATGCCATTGACTAAAAAACTCTTCGACTCAAGAACAAAGAGCTATAGAAGATCAGCGCCAGGCTTTAGCTGAACCTGTCGCTCTGACCAGTGAGGCCCAGAGTGGCTCACCACACCGACGAAATGACACAACTCGAAATAGCAGTCTCGATATCTATCTGCTTGGACCGTCTACTAGTAAGGATATTGTCCCTGTGAAAATTGAAAATATTGAAGATGAATATAACGAAAATGAGCCGGAGAACATGGAGGGTTCTGAATTCTGATACATAAAAGAATTTCAATCTACTCGAAGAAAACGACGAGGAAACTCGTCGTTACCTCTAGTGCGGCGCTTCGATAGAGCTCGAAGGTGTCCTTATGGCGACAGCGTGTACAGGTGCACGATCATCTACTTCCGCCGCCTGACGTACGCGCACGACGAGTCGCATAAAACAAGCGCTTCGTCCAATTCCATGTAGTTTAACATATATATAAATTAATGCTGAAAAAGCCATTTTAACCCTCAAAGAGATATTTATAAAGTTGTATATGTGATCTCATATTGCCAGCCAGGCAGCAGTCGATGAAGTTGTTGGTCTCATTATACAAATTACCTTTAGATATATTATAGATATAGGCAAATATTAACGTATTTTTTTTAAAAGTTTGTGATACAACTTATTTTTTGTTAAAAATACTCAAGTGTAACTAGTTATAAGAACCTATAACATTAGTATGTAGTTTTGCCTTTTTAATCGTTTCGTGATTAAGCCTTAGATATTTTTTTCTTGTGCAAATGATAGAAAGACATGTTAATTTCCTATCAATTACACCGAATGCTATGTTTGAACACAATATATAAAATATATAATACATATATATACAGTTAATTAACAGAACGGAAATGAACAGAATTCAACAGAAGAACATTATTTCAATAACAACAAAAGAATAGAATTCAGATTGAACACTTAAAATATTTTCCCTAATGATTTTAAATAACCTTTTATCAAGAAATATGTATTTTCCAATTTGTATCTAGTCTAGAATTATTGATAGGTAAAAACTCAATGAATGTCCTCATACAATAGTTTAATGTTACAGTAGCTTCAATAATTGGTTCCTTCAAGTTAAATTGAATAAATCTTATTTTTTTATCAATTATACAAGAACATAGCCGAGCTTACTTTTTTAACTAAATGCCATAATTGAAAAACTGTGATTATTTTCACCTTAGTTTTTTTTTATTTATTTTTTGTTAATTCATGCACTTAGGTTATTTTTTATATAGAATATATTATTGTCTGAAGGTCGGTATCTATTTTACCCATTATATGTAAACATACCCGAAATAAAATGTCTTGAAGATATTTATTTTTTATTATTAGTATATTACAACATTAAATTACATTATATATAGGATTGGAGATCCTCGAATTAAAAAAAAACTAAACATTTTAAATAAAATATATTATTTGTACAGATTATTTACTATATCACATTTTATAAATTGCAAACGCAACAAAACGAATTATGTTAATATCATAAATCATAATGTCGTACATTAAATTGATTTAAATTCCGAGCTTTCTATTTTGACCAGTTTGAAGTTAGAGCAAGAGTCGCCGCAGTAAAAGGTTTTGACTAATCAATAGTGACAAGACTGCTCACCAACTGCAACTTCAGACCGGTTTACATGCGCGTAAAAAACCCAAATCATTCTTTCCAGACAATAAAATCAAACTTTATATCTATATATAACGTCATGCCATGGAATAAAATTAATTTAAAAGGGAGTTTTTAAAGTTCTTTTTACATACATATCTTAATAATTGGCTTTAAAAAAAATTGCAGACAGCGCCATCGTGACGATACGCATTATTTATTAACCTTACTTTTTCTTTAATTTTGAATTTCTATAACGTGTGTGTATATTGCGATTATCATACGTTATAGAAATTCTTTATCAATTTTTTCTGTTATTAATTATTTAATAAACGTCAATAAAACACAATGCCATAATCATTTTAGAGTAATTTTTTTGTAATGTTTCTTGACCCCGAGCCTGTGAAAGTTCCCTTAATAGAAACACAAATTCATGGCAACACGTACAGTGCAGTTCACTTAAATTTATCTATCGCCCGGCAGATTATTTAATTTCAATTAAAAATGGATGTTACACAAAAAATACATAACCATGGCTTATTTGGAAAAACAACTGTACCATCAACAATAGTAGTTAACATGACAAAAATGAAGATTAATGTTTTAATAATTTAATAATTAATAAAATAATTTAATATTTTTTTCTATATCATAAATACAACAACCCTAGTTGTTCAATATCACCCGTAACATTGGGTTTCAACACTTTTTCACTTATCAGTGTTAGATTATAAAAGTGAGCTGCAAACCGTGCCAAACACTTCCCCGACAGTTCTGCACATTGAATAATAATAAATAAATATGTGGGGACTTTAACACACAGCGCCATCTAGTTCCATGGTAAGCTACGAGGCTTGTGTTATGGATACCAGATAGTTGATACACTACACATATATAACTTTAAATACATACATATTATAAATATAAACACCCATGACTGGAGTGCAAACATTCGTGCTCATCACACAAATGAATGCCCCCAGCGGGACATGAACCCGCGACCGCTGGCACAGCAAGTAGGATCACTACAAACTGAGCCAAACGTGTCGCCATAATATTTTAATGATTTAACTACAATTAACATACTTCATACATGTTTTAATCTAAATCCAGATAAAAGTTAATTATTTTCTCATTATTTATATCGTTTTGGAATCATTGTATATGATTTTTTTTTATTCATTAATATTAATAAATGTTACATTGATCATCTACATATTCCTTGAACTTATTTGACTAAAAAATTAACACAATCGTACATACTTTCATAGCAAATAGTATATAATGAATGTTAGTTTCTCCTACTTCTCTAATGCTATATAGTCAAAAGAAAATTACTTCTTTATACATAAATAGACCAATCGGAATCCATTTATTTATTTCTAAGAGAAAATAATAAATTGAAAACTTGAAGTTTTATGATTTTAAAATGTTAGGTTATTATACAGGGTTATTTTTAATTTACTGAAAACCTTTTGGGAATATACTATTTACATCTTATCAACAACACCTGTAACAAGAAAAAATAATATTTCTTAAATTTTTATTTTCATACAAAAATAAAAATACATATTTTTCTTGCACCTTCTAAACGGTTTCTATCGAAAAATGTTTTCTACAAAAGTTGTAGGTCTACTAAAAATCTACAATTTTTATAAATAACACTTTTTACAATAACTTCAAAGTTTTCGAGATATTTGCAGAAAATTCGGTTTTTAACTTTTTCTTGGTTTTTTATTTCTAAAACAATCTATTGATTTTTATGAAACTAAGGGAATGCAATCTTCGAAATACATATAATAAATTAAAAAAAATGAAATATTTAGCCATTTCCGAGAAAAGTATGTTTTATGGTGTCGAGAGGCTGAAAATCACCCTCAACTTCAAGTGGACGTTTACATTTAAAAAAAAATGTTCAATTTTCAAATAGGGCTCATTCTTTTTGTCTTAAAGTATTCTTTTTGAAAAAGTAAAAACATTTTATAGTCATCCTGTAAAAACACCCAAATTGGAGAAACTGATAATTTTTACTTTGTAAACAACATTTTTTTCAATTATCATTGCGAAGGTGTACTTTATTGACCAATTTTTTATAAACTGATTATACCAATGTATTTTTCGGGAGAACTTTTGTACAAAACATTTTTCGATAGAACATCGCAGTAAGCCAGAAATTGAAAATAACTATTTTTTAACGCTTTGCCTTTCCCCATTTCTGGGGGGTAGCTGAACATGTGGGGCATTTTACGAATTTCCATTCCTTATACCCGCTAAAATTTTAAAATCATAAAACTCCAGGTTTTTTCCCAAACTGGATTTCGATTTGACTAAACTGAGTTATACTATTTTTAAAGTAATGGTATAAAAAAATTATAAAATACAATCACATTTTGACCTCTAATGAATAAACATGTTAATTTCAACCACAGATCTCATTAGACTGGTTTTCATACCTACTGAAGGGGAGGGGTAGAGCTACCTTCGTTCACAAGCCTCTGCCTTTCCCTGTACATGGAAACCTGGATATTTTGCAGTTGGTGATAGCGACATACCTTCAGCGTTGAGAACACCGCCAGGCCCACCCAAGTGGCGAAGGCACCCCACGCGCCAAACTGATTATAAAATACAATTAAAAAAAATTACTTAATGTCCAATAATAATACTCGTGTTACAAGGTTCAGCTCAAGTAGTGTGTACATAAACCATAAAAACTAGCAATTAGAATAATTCAACTTAAAAATAACATACAATAATAAAACTAGAGCCTAATTCAGTCATTGTCCATGTACGCAACCTTTTAGTTAATGGTTAATGGTAAAATTAAGTAAACACAAAATTGATGAATTGATAGCCAAATAAAGTGTTATTGTGGCATATTATGTTCTTGACATTTTTATGTGACCTCAAAGTAGAATTAAGTTCAATTCTTTTCAAAGAAGTCTGGTATTTTGATTTACTTAACTTATTCAAAGGTCTACTCACTTGAGCAGTGCCAAGCTCTATGTAGAAGCCATGTGTGGATATGTTATCCTTTTTATCAATATCTTGTCCAGTCGCATCCTCACAGCTGATGGAAAAATAAAAATTCAAAACTATATTAGATACACATATACATCTTAAATTTATTCAAATAGACCTTTACAAGCACTTTTGAATTGTCAATTTTATATTTTAAATTAAAAATGTCAGTATGCAAGTCCATGAGGCAACTACCACTGTTCCGAAGGTTCTGCTGAGAAAACAATAAAGATTTCTACACTACAGTGCAGTGCATTCTACAGAATACAAAAGTAAAATAACTAAACTAATTTTAATAGGAAAGGACAATAAAAACTAGCACAAAAAAGTTAATTTTACCTTGGAAAACGCTCAACAATATTCTGACACCAGGTCATGAAGCCCAAGGTGACCAGTGCAGCCGCAGACACTGCAAGGGCACACAGGAGTGCACATCCTACTGCTTCTATAAATGCTGATAGAAATGAACTATCTGTGCCACGGTACATGAACATTGATAGCCTGTAGACAATGATAATAACAATATGTTAAAAAAGCCAACAATATGTTATGAAACAATACCCAGCTTTAGTTATCACAACAATAAAATTGTATGTTTTTTTTAAATGAATAATTGAATATCAGGGCATATTTTAGACAAATTGTGAATAAGAAAAGCTTACCTGTATATTTGTACACAACATACAATAAACATCAGCACACCAACAACAATGACATAGTGGCAATACGCACGGGAGGCCCACATCACAAGTAACTGACCATCCTCTTCTTGCCATGTACCTTTAGAGAAGAGAAGGCAGTGACCACTGTAAAGAAAACGACGTATTTAATTAATTCTTTCTATGCATAGGCAGTGGGCACAACTATTACAGTTATAAAAACATAATACATGAATCACTTATGTTTTGTTAAAAGGATATATTTTATCTTTTATTTATTATGGCTTTTGTCAGTCTCCTCTTATTAGCATTAAATTCTCTAATTTGAATAATTAATGTAATTATAACTTAATATGTTGTTACTATATATTGTTTACATATAAGCTTAAAAATGTCACCTGAATTCATCCTGATGCATACTCATAGGTACTATAATACAAAGCGAGAGAATTAGGCCAATTACATAGCCAGCTATCTGGCTCAGTAGTAGCACATTCGTCAAAGCCATCGCGAACAAATTTTGTCAAGAGTTCGATATATCTAAGTTTTTTTGCGTATTTTATTTGTTGATAAAACGATACCTACAAAAGCAAAAGCACAAGTGAAGTGTCAACTGTTATTTGTCATCCATGGTGTCAAGTCAACTGCCAAAATCTGGGATCAAATGTCAAAGTCAAACTAGCAAAACAAAAAAAAACATTTTTTTTTTATAATTTTGATTTTGAGTCGTGCCTAGTGCACTAGATAATATTTGGTCAATATTTAATGTACATAAATCTTACACAACATAAAGACAAATTATTTTGAAATACATTAGCTTGGTCTTAAGTATCAATGTTTTTCTTTCCTTCATAATCTAATCTCAATATTATATACATATATTAATTAAAATAAAACGTAGATTTTTTAAAACTAACTTTTTGGACGAAAGACAACATGACAAATGTCATTTTGTGTATTGGCAGTCTAGTGTCAAATTTTGAGAAATTTGTCGTTGATGATGATGTGTTTCTGCCGTCGAATCAGAAAATAAATTTAGTTATTTAAACTTTGATTATGTCGCTGAATTAATGTTTATGTAATTTAAATAAAAAACATGAATTTTAATGCCTCTAGAAATGGTAAGACTGAGAAGTAGAATGTATCTTGATCACATGTTACAATCAGATTCATTATGACTTTCGTTTTGTAAATCACTAAAATATGCTATATAGTATGTTCATGGAATAACTTTATGAATCTATTTATGAAGATGCTTTTGACTTATCGATATCAGCTATTTTAATGTAAATATAGTGATAAGTTTATGTTCAAATAAAGCGATGTTATATGTGAGCTCCGGTTGTTTACAATCAAATAAATATCTATCTTATACCTTCTATAGTCGGCCCTGCTGGCGGGCCCCGTAAAGCAAAACGAGTGAGTGATGTATCAGCAATGGGTGCTCCGTCGCTAACACCGGCTTTTAGTCCAACTCCAACATATAACCAAGGATATGCACCGGCTGGCCCCCCTCCTCCATATCAACAGGGAATCCAACTAGATCCTGCTCAAGAATTTGGTTCTTCAGATCCTGCTGCAAGTAAGTGACTTTAAATGTCTATTGATGATTTTGAAAATATTGCGTTGATAATAATAATACTTAATGATTATAATTTTATGTATCATCTCTTTATAAGATATAAACAGTATTTTAATCTGTAAATAAATAAAAGTTAAAGAATAAATACAAATACCCATAAATTGATATTATAATAAGTTGTATTAAAGAGTTATATATTTATAAATATTATTAAATTTTATAAATATGTTTTTTTAGATTTTGGGTATATGGGTGGATATGGACAAGCTCCAATGCCGACACCAGCTCACATTGGCTCTATGATACAACAACCTATTATACAGGTAACATTTATAACTTTTATCTATATAAATATTATATAGAGGTAAAGTTTGTGAGGTTGTGGGGGTGATCTCTGCATCTACTAAACGGATTTAGATGAAATTTCATAACAAGATAGTTTGAGACCCTGGGAAGTACATAGGATACTTTTATCCCAGAAATCATTCCTTAAGGGGGTGAAAATGGGGATGAAAGTTTGTATTGCGAAGCTAACTAGGGACAAGCAATAACAAAGCGAGGATGAGTGGCTAGTATTAGTATAGATGTCAAATATTCGCATATATCTAAGGAAATGAGACAGATATTAAATTGTAATTACATAGCATCCTAGATATTACAGATAAAAATTGTAAGAGTTATAAAAACCTATATGATTATTTTTTTAAACTATTATTGATAGGCTCTTATTTACAGCTACATAAAAAGTAGTGGTAAAGGACAAAATATATAATAAAAACGCTTCTTTTACTATGTTTTGGGATCAATGTTTGATGATATAGAAACAAAGAGTGAAGATAAATCATTGAGAAAATACTAAAAACATTAATTTCAATTCATATTTTATGACACAATAGTAGCAAAGTATATATCAAGTAAAGAGTGTAGAAAAGTTTGCATATTAGTGGACATCAGGAATTCCGTTCTGTCTCTTACAATCTGCGAAAAAACTACAAATCAGATGATTCGCATTATCAAATGAAAATTAAAATAATTTTAACATTATTTTTATAAGTACTAGTTCACAAATAAAAATAAAAACTGATAACTGTTTCTTAATTGAAATATTTCATAACATTAGAAGTCACACGACACATCCTCCTACAATACACACGATGCAAACAATTAATTGGACCAAATAAAGCTAATAGATAAATGTTGTCGTTGTGGTGCGGCATAACAAAAGTATATGTATATAATAAATACAAAATATTTTACAATGATACAGATAATTATAGTTTTAGTTTAATATGATATATTGTCAGACTTAAACTTGTTTCATTTTATTCAATTATAAGATGAGGCAAAAAGGATTATGCTTAAACAGATAGCTGCTTTAATAATGACTTGGATTTTACAAAACAATCTTATTTAAAATCATAATTTTTAATCCAATTTGTTACTAGCCTACCTGTTAATGTTTTGTGTTTTATATTAATTGATTTGTTATTGTAATGCATCAGTTTTCGTTTTCATTCACCACTTAGATTACATGAACAAATGAAAAAACACTATAAATTCAAAATATTTCATTAGTTAAAAAAGCATTTGCAATTCAATATCTGAAAATTTCAAAAAATAAAATGCATTTACTAGCAGTACCCGCGGCTTCGCCCGCGTCCAAACTTCCGATCGCTAACAAAATTCACAGATTACCTAAAAATTTCATCAAAATCCATCAAACTCGCTCCAACTGTTTTGGAGTCCATAGGAAACATACATACACACATCGATTTTTATTTTATTTAATCAACAATTTAAATTTATTTATTGCTCGGAAAATGGAGTCTTTTATGAAAATTTAGTGACACACCGACTGCAGCGCCACCTACTGGGTCCATTTGTATTTGCAAACCATCCGGGAACCCATTGAAATCCATTGAGGTCCAGCCGTTTAGGAGGAGCTAGGTGACTAACACACATACAGAAGTGTTAAATATATTAAGATTATGAAGCGAACAAGCATATAAGCATAAATATGCGCGGTTGAAGACGGGAGCTCCTAGTCACTTATTTTTAAATAGATGAAGCTGCCAGTCTATCGGACTACTGCTATAAATGAGAAACTTTGTTTGTGTGTATGTTTGTTATTCCTTCGCACTAAAACAGCTAGACCGATTGAGATAAAGTTTAGTTTAGAGATAGACTACAAGGTTGACATCAGGTCCAAAACAAAACTTCCCAACATATGTACTCACGCGAGTTGACCAACTAAAATGAGGGTGGACTGAGCTAAGAAGTAGTCTGGAAAAGTGGACCAAACGTGTGACGATCAGGTATCAGATCGTCACACTTTTGATGGGAGGGTGAAATCTGCCTAAGTCTAGGGCCACTGTAGACGCGAGTGGCGCTATATAGAGTCTAATGCAGACAGTTGGACGAGGCCTTTGCCAAGAGGCACACAGAAATTAGAGATATTATGTTAATTTTAATACAATTTTATCTGTAAACTCTGTAACTCTGTCTCCTGTAATAAAGACTATTTTATTTTTATTTACATATACAGTTAAGCTATGACATGGACGAACAAGTAGGCTACAGTTAGGCATCTAGGAACTTACCGAGCATAGCAAATATAAATTGCTGGTACCACTATATTGAATATATTATTTAAACATTTCCTTCCATTTCCCAGGACATGGCTTTGCAGTACGGCAACCAGCTGGCCGCGCAGGGTCGGGAGGCGGTGCAGCGCGAGCTCGGCCGCTACGTGCCGGTGTCTAGGCTCAGATACTACTTCGCAGTAGACACCAGATATGTCATGAAGAAATTGATTCTTATACTGTTTCCGTACACACATCAGGTACATATTGACTTGCTTTAAGTTAATAAATTAGTTTTTTTAAATATTACGACATGTTGAATGAATATTGTATGAATGAAGGTAATTTTTAATTTGAAATCGATTGTGAACACTTATTATTGGTTTGTGAAGTGAATAATAATAAAAGATAAATTTATTATGTAAGATTATTGTTATTAAATTATTTCGCACACTGTCTGTTTTTGCCTTGGAGTGAAAAAAAATTCTTATAGTAAGAGCTAATAATCATGAGTCGACCAAGGGAATTAATAAAAATGATTAGTGATTAGAGTAATATCAAATAGAAGGACACATTATACATGATGTGAATATTTTTCTATGATTTAAAATCCATAATATATAAGATATTAACAACTATTTCAGGACTGGTTTGTGAAGTACGACCAGGACTCGCCAGTGCAGCCGCGCTACGACGTCAACGCGCCCGACCTCTACATACCCTCCATGGGCTATGTCACCTACGTGCTGCTGGCTGGCTTCATGCTCGGTAGGTATACAGTAGTAAATAGGAACCTAATGTTACAGTGCAATTGGTAACCTTAGGCGCACTCTCTATTATGTCACGATCATATCTGACGGGGGGAAATTAAGTTGTGATATCCAGACAAATCAAAATGAATCATCATGAATCATAATTTTGGCACATACATACTGACATAGACTATATAGTTACAGGGGTATACTAGCGCAGTAGTATCTAGGATCTTATCAGATTGACTAATTGCTGTAAAAATTGCAAAGAATAGAAGAACATTTATAAAAAAAATCAGTATAAATAAAATTAATCACAACACTACCATTACCATGATTGCTGGTAAAGCATTTGAAACATAAAATCTGACAAGATAGTTATAATGAAAATGACAAATCTAAGGAAGTAAAATCATCGCAATATTTAATCACTGACCGCTCCTAACATTCCAGGTCTCCAGCACAGGTTCTCCCCGGAGCAGATCAGCATCCAGGCGTCGAGCGCGCTGGCCTACATCATCTTCGAGATGGTGCTGTACTTGGGCACGCTGTACGTGAGCGCGGCCGGCCCGGCCACGCGCACGCTGGACCTGCTGGCCTACTCCGGCTACAAGTACACCACCATGATCGCCAGCCTGCTGGCCGCGCTCGCCGCCGGCCCCACCGGCTACTACTGCGTGCTGCTGTACTGTAGCATAGCTTTGTCTTTTTTTTTGGTATGTATTTTGTATAAATAAATAATAATAAATATGTTGGGACATTAACAAACAGCACCATCTAGTTTCGTGTTAGTGATGGCTTGTGTTATGGATACCAGATATACACTACACATATATAATTTTAAATACATACATATTATAAATATGAATACCCATGACTGGAGTACAAACACTCGTGCTCATCAAACAAATAAATGCCCCCAGCGGGACTCGAATCCGCGACCGCTGGCACAGCAATTATAGTCACTACAAACTGAGCCAAACGTGTCGTCAAATGTATGTGTACTAGTATCTACTTACCTTAACTTTGTTTGTGTATTTCTGTGGATACTAACAGTAGCCTATGTGTTACTCCAGGTCATGTCCTAAATTTAATCCAAATCCAAATTTCATCTAAGCAAAAGTTTTTTTTAATAACTTATTTTTTTTTTCAACAAAAACAGACATAATATTAATTATTCAGTGACATGTCTACTTACTGTGTTTCTATAACTCTTCAGGTGAAAACCCTTCGACTGCAGTTGCCATCCGGGTCCCATGTGCCGGAGCAGCCCTACAGCGGGTACCCCAACAGCTACTCGGCCAACCCGTACGTGGACACGTGGGCGAAGCCTCCCGGCGGCGGCACCAAGCGCCGCTTGTACTTCCTGCTGTTCGTGGCGGTGACGCAGCCGCTGCTGTCCTGGTGGCTGACCCACCACCTGGTCCCGTCGGCCCCGCTGGCCGCGCCCGCCCCGCTCGTGCCGCCCGCCCGATAGCGGGACCCGAACGCGGTTACGAGTTAACTGTGAATAAGTGTTGAAATTCAGTTTTAATTATTTAGTTATTACTAGTGATTGTGTTGGGTGATTACTTGTGTTTTGTTTGTAAGGTTTTATTTTGTTTTGATTGATCTAATACATTGTATTGATCTAATACTTGGACCAAGTAACAACAAAATTGACGTCAAATAATAGTTAATATTATTAGCAAGCAATTGAACATCTAGGAGTTTGGATTCTGATTAGATAACCTTAGGTTATAGTTTATTAAATTAATTTTAAAATGCAGATAACTAGTGTAGTTCTCACTAATAATTTAATTAATAAAACTGAATTTCAATACGTTAATGAATAAGAAAATGTATGCATTAAAATCACAGATAAAAAAATATAATAGTAAGAGGCTGGTTAGCGGGAGGGAGGTAGCGTAGCATATTTTTTGGAAAATTTTATACAGAATAAAGCTTGAATGGTATAGGAATGCATAAAAGACGAACGTCCTAAGAAAATAAAATGTTGCACCGGGAAGCTTCACAGGCGTATGTATATACGATAGCCAATCAGAGTTGTATCATAATCTGATTAATGGTTTAGGAACGCATAGAAGACAAACATTATATGAAAATTCATTTTTAGTTATGTAGATAAATGACTATTATATAAGTTTTTTATGTTCATTAAATAGCAAAATAAGTGTCTTATTTAAAAATACTTTTTTAATCTAAATATTATGATAATTCATTTCATAATAAACTGACTATATTCACCGACATATATTCCATATTATGAATCAATAAAAAAGCCTGTATAACGCAACTAGGTAGAATACTGTATACTACGCTACCTCCTCGACCATGACGTTTCGAATAGATTCAGCAAAAAATAATAACATTAGCTGTGATTTAGTGTATATAGAAATTGCAAATAACTCTGTTTTTTTTACATTTGATAGCTTGATATGGATTTCATTTTATGTATTTGTATATTATATTACACAATACACACTTTATGTATAAAAAATTATTTTGTAATTCATATCAAACTTTCACTGGCTTTAGATATCATGGTAACATGGTCGTGTAAAACAACACCTAATATAATAAATCTTTAAATAATTAACTCATTAGTCCATTTTACTATAATTTTAGCAATTTTAAAGGAAAAGGCCTTTAAGGCATAATTTTCGTCAATATCATAAAAATAGATTCCCAATATCTGCTATTGAGTTTGGGACACGCCATGTAATATCTATTTAAATATGTTTTGCTAACAAAATAAATCGGCTTTTGAATACTATTTTATAATACTTTCACTCATTCATAACTGCAATATGAGTGTAATGGAAAGTTACAATAGGCATTGAATTTCTGCTTGTTAATTAACAAAACTCTGTTCGATGATGAGAATTGTAAAATTTCAAATGAACCATATGATAGCTTGATTAAAAATCGCATTGTTTCATTGAATAATTAAATTATATAAGAGCTTTCTTACCTTGACGCCTGAATTGTACTTACACAAATAGGTACTTTATCAAAACCTTAAAAATTTGTTTCAAAAACAATAAATTTTAAGACAAATGTAGTTAAAATTATTTGTTACATAATGGAGTTGTTTTTTTCATTCAGGACATGTTACCGTAAAATATCTATATAAGTATATTCTGACTTAATAAAACATTGAAATTGTAAATAAAAGTCCAAAAATATGTAAAATGTATAGCTTTTTATATGATCAATACCAAAATATATGATTTTGCCTACTAATAGTGTTATTTTATTGTATACTTATTATAATCTAGTGGGTGATTTAGGATTCAGGTGAAAAAAGCTTATTTTACTTAAAAAGCTTAATAATTAGAAAGCTTCCTTTTTTTAATAATTTGTAATTTAATAATTGGGAAAAAGGAAAGAGAAGTGCCAGACGAGTGTATATTAAAATGAAAAAAAAATTGTGTCCTATGTGTTAGGTATTGTTATGGAAGTAGGTGTTATCTTCTCTTGAAAAATCTCACTTACATATTTTAAACTCAATTTCTTGTTCATATTATAAATGCGAAAATGTGTTTATCTTTCTGGCAGCAACATTTGGATGTGTTTTATTTAGAAGTAAGTTTGGGCTTGTGCAAGTGCAAATGTATTAAATAAAAAGACCTGCGGCGTAAAGCTAGAGTAATATGAGTCCCTAGTTAATAGTAGTATTTTAACTTAATACAAAAACGAGAAATATCTTCCGTTCTTAATCACTCACTTATATTATGTGTAATTAATTATATTCTAACTTAATATTTTTTGACGTCGTTAAGCATTTATTATTATATTATTTCAAGTGCTTAATAATCTGAAGTGAATTAACATTGTTTTATAGATAACATATATAAATAACTTGTCTGTCTGCGTGTTGTAGTTCCTTACCAGCTCTGCTGTCGCCAACCTTTGTAATATTTGGTATACAATAAACATTAATTTTATATTCTTTGCATTTTATTTAGTCTCTTATTTTTTAATATGAATTCTGTAGCAAAAGCAGTATTTTTAACATTACATATATAATATTCAACTTAAATTTAACTTTTTAAAACTGTCATTTCACAAATTGTATTAAAAACTGGTTCTAAAAATTAGCATACATATACATAAGAACTTTTTTACTCAATTATTTAAAATCGTCTATGATTAAAGAGATTGTGTAATTAATTTTTGTACAAGCATCTAATCTAAAAGAACCAATTACCTTATAAGATAACTTCAAAGAACTCCGGTACAATGAAGACGACCCACGTATTTCTATTGTATCGTGTAGGCTGAATGAATTATTACCTAAGATATAAACCTATTTAGAAGTTCGTAGAAGAATACGAGTATATATTTTCATTATTTATTTCACTTTCATTTTATAAAAACTTAATTTTTAACATATTGCAAATTGTATATGGTAGAATATCACGAATAAACATTTCTTTACATAATAATTGGTCCAATAGAACCTGCTTACTCCGACAAACTAGTGAAATCCGTCTCGATACCACACAACCAATAGTATTTTATTCAATTGAATAACTGACTTTAAAAGCAATTTGACAGAATCTAATATATTGCTTTAAAACTAGAACAAAATAGTTACATAAATTATTATGGGTGTGCTAAATATAAGTTCCTACTTTGATATTTGTTGTTAAATATATAATTATTAACACGCATCCACACAACGTCCACGATAATATTAGATACTATAAATCAAAAATATCTCATTTTTAAGTTAGTCTTGAAATTATTATAAAACATTCATATACTAGAAATAATTTCGCGGATTTTGAACAAACTCATGAGCTGGTTTTAATTAAACATGTGGGGTCCAAAATATTAACAGCTAAGAGGGCCACAGGCCAATTCAGAGTAATCTTGAATAAGCCACGGGCTGAATTGCCTGAATGGCCCATATAATTTTTTTTCATTGTGCGGAGAGCACTGCGCTATTTGCGTGCGACAGAGAACGACGAACCTTGACCCCGTTTTCTATGTAGGTAGCGCCTTCGCGCCATCTTTCAAATTCATTACGACTCCGCTGAACACATTATATATTTATTTAAAGAGCTATTCTTTGATTTTGAAACGTGGAAGGAATGATTTTACCTTAAAATTTTACATTTCATTTATTTCATATCAAAGTAAACAGTATTTCAGTCTTGATTTTATTGTTTCGAAAGGAATGTTTAAAGCCACATTTACCTAAAATTTCAATCAGCTTTACTTGTTTGAGAGATATATTAAATTATAATTTACTTTGGAGAAGCATAACAAAGCAAATATATTTCAGTTTTATAATCGTATGATAAATAATGCACGATTACATGAGCTATGTTTTATTTTAGAACAAAAAGTGGCGCAAAAACTAGTTTGACTAGAATGAAGTTGCCGCGAACGCTGATTGGCTGAACGTTAAACGACCTTGCACATTTTTTACTCGCCAGGGATGTCCAGTACGGCGATCTTATAAACGATAAAAATAAATAGTGCATTTATTTTTACTGAAATATTTTTAATTATATTCAATTTTCACAGATTATAGATGTTAACTATTTATTTATTATAATATTTGCTTTAAAAAGATGAAATTTAAAGTTTTTTAAAATGAAATTAAACTAAATAGGCCTGAAAAATATTTTTTATCAACTGCTTCTTCTTCTCCCTGCCCATTTCCCAAATCACTTGGGGTCGGCGCAGTACATCTTCAGTGTACTGCTGATAGGATTTGGCAAAAGTTTTACGACCGGCCGCCTGCCTGACGTCAACCCTCCTTGGGAATGCTATTGTCTTTTTTTGTCTGAATGGTGTTTTAAAACATTTTTTATACTATTAATTCAATTATTAATGTTATTTTTGGGTATATTTTAAAATAAATTTCGATTACACAATAAATTTTGTATTGACGTTGTCAAATTTTTTATCAACTGCTTACCATGATATAATAAATAACATATATATGAATAAAGTCGTTCTAATTTCCTTAAAAATTACACTTAAAAAATCAGAATATGTTTAAAAAATTATATAATTTAAACGTAAACGGGAATCAAACCTATAATTGGGTATGGTTAAACCATTATGATTTTATTGGTATGTTAATTTTCTGATTCCAATTAGAATAACTGATTTAAAATTATTAAATTAGACTACGAAAATCTTATTAGAATCTTAACTGATCTAACTATTTTGATTCGTAACATATCATATTCACATGAAATAAAAAATATTTTCATTTTATATAAATGAAAAACTATTTATTGAAAATAAATATTTAAATAAAAAGAATGAAATTTTGTTCATCCCTACTGTAATCAGCTGGTCGCTGTCAAAATACAGGTTTGCCAACCTGCCCGCGCCACACCCGCGGATAAGTTCACTGCGAGCGTGCGCCACAACAGCCGCAGCGCAGTATCGACAAACCTTCACATTACATTTAGACGTATTAACTATAGTGTCACTTCTCTTCTTATATTTTACCTATTACATTATTCAAAATTTTTATTGTACTCGTTATAGTAATTTTAGTGTTGAGTGTATCAAATGATATATCGATAATGTACAGTGCCGCGTCTTTACACGCATTCTGAAGCAATTACGTAATGGGAATTATGCTAGAGAGGTTTATAGTATTGCCCTGAAATTCAACATGGCCGCTGACACGGGAATGGACACTTGCCCCAGTCCGGAGATCACGGACTCCAGAAAGCGACCCCTCGATGGCGACTCGGAAAATGGGGACGTTAAGAGGTCCCACTTTAGCTCCGGTGAGTACCCGCTCGCCCGCAGTGGCCGCTGTTTTTATTCGATTGCGTATTTGGCAAGTAACATTGACATAGCGAGTCGACCCTGCCGTACATACCTATACGGTCGCTGACGAGATTCTTATCAGAATGTTGCGCTGTTATCAGTTTGACCTATTTAATCACAATAATATAGCGATTTCGATTTTAATAAATCGAAATATTGTAAAAATGGATTTGATAACATCCAATAGCCCCATAAATTGTAGCGCTACGATATAAGAGCGTTATTTTCGATAAATAATATGAAATTTGAGGTTCTTATTTTTCGAACTCGTTAAGCGCGCGCGTTGTTATGTGTAATATATTCATTGATTGAAATTAATGCAATGTTAAAAGTGAGTCGTTGTTTTTTAGTTCAAGACTTGGTGACGGCCTTGCCACTGGCTAACGGCCATGGCAATATAACGTCTCATTTCGGTGAGTCGTCACAGTAATTATGTTCGCTCCTCATCGGCTTTGTGGTTTTTGGTGGCGCGCATGCCTCACGCGCGCACGCTCACGCTCGTCACCAGCTGAAGCTCACTGCTGCTGCACTCCGACAACGGCTCCTTCCTAGCATCTCTGGATGATCATGAGATAAACATACATACATACGTATCCATAACATCTGATAATGAAGTGTCAAATTAAAGTAAATATTCTGAATAGTATTAATAAAGTATAATCTTTTACATAAATGAAAGAATCAATCATTGAGATGTATGGTAAAGTTTGATGAACAATAAATGAGAGCAAATAGCACAAAGCAGTGAGCTATCAGATTGAGCTGGCGTAGAGGTTAGCGTTTTCCGTCAATCTCCATTGCACAGTAAACATGCCTCTGTGAGCCTTACCTAGCCTCACACCCACTCATGGCTTAGTCGTTCCATTGTCGGTGTGATCATATGTACAGACATTACTATTAGGATCATTCGCAAATCTTCTTGAAATTTTATTTCATATCTGATTGCTTTTATTAGCTTTTTATTATTTGAAAGTCATTTCAACTAACCTGTCGGATTAACATTATTTGCATAATCTATCCATTGACTTTTTTTTAATAATGTCACAGTATTTAGGTTTTAGCGCACGGTATCAATGTAAGAAATTTAGTTGTAAAGTATATTAAGTGAATAGTTTGTTTGTGTGAAGGTAAAGGCAAGGTCAGTGCCGGTGGCTAATGATGAATGCCGTTCCCACTGTGGACTCTGTCTCTCAAAACTTAGAGTCGGTAGTTTTGTTGGATAAACTCAAGGTTGGTGGATGTGATGTTAACTCATTGCAAGTATGTTTACAGATCTCTATCTCGAATGCATCATAATTGTTAAAGTTTGCGAATAACATTTTTTAAATGCCAGTAACTGGTTGGGATGGTTATACTCTAAAATTAGATTCTTGTAACAGGCATTTTCTTTTTATTTCAGCACAATTTGTATATTGACATTTTTTGTATATTAGGTAATAGAATATATGATTTTTAGCCATCTAGATAAATGAACTTATGCATATTACACACTATTATTTATAACAGTGAAATATTTTTTTTATTATATTATACAATAAACATACAAACAACAATGCAATAAACATACAAATAAATAATCTGCAATGAAATTAACAAATAAATGCTGATGTCAGTTTTATTATTATAATTGCTACAAACGCTCAAGCTTAAATGTCAAGGATGTATGTATGTAGAAATGATAAAAATAAACATAGCTATATCTTTGATGTAGAAAATAAAAATGGATTTTATCTGATATTGGATGGTAAAAACTAAAAATATATGAAATCATATTAAAATATTTTAAACATTAAATGACTAAGTGCAGAGGTAGAGTTAGTAAAGACGCGAGTACATTACGCCAGTAACAACACGCTTTTGAGGCTCTACATTTTTAAAAAGGAACTGCTAATGAGGATAATTTTTGGATAAAAGTGATTACAAACCGTACTTAGATACTATCACACTTAGTATTATTGTTACTGAATCACGTTTTTTCGGCGTTTTTATATATGAAATCCATTGTAGGAATAACTAAAAATTAAAATTATCAAATGGAACTGACGGATTCGATTCGAAAACCATCGGGCAAAGCAGAAGTAGGTTACTATATCGTACTAATATTATAAACGCGAAAGTTGGCAAGAATAAATATATGGATGTATGTTTGTTACTCTTTCACGCAAAAACTACTGAATAGAATTTAATAAAATTTTACAACAATATAGCTCATACATCAGAATAACACATAGACTAATTTTTATCTCGGAAAAATATACGGTTCCCGTGGGATAGATTTGTTTCTGTTTTTCTATAGGCGAACCTGAGCGAAGCGAGGGTGAGCAGCTAGTAGTTTATAATATTGTTCCGTTTTATTTCCCTCAACTATTAGTTTAGTTACAAGTGATTATTTTTTAAAATAGAGGAAGCTCAGATTGTGTGGGCTTATTATATCTTTTGTTAATAATATTATCTTATCAGCTGAGTGCATTTTATATTTGTTTGCCGTTAAAGTTGTAAAATGTAAATATTATATTTCAATACGAGTGCAAACCTATGACATAAAAACAATTACCGAGTTTATTATATTATATATTGTATTATATAGTATTATATAGTATTATATAGTGTATTATAATTTAAAAAAATTCTTCCCAATATAAATATTCACACTCAATCGTAGTCGTTCAGCAGAAAGTTCAATAAATTGGCTTAAATGTATACTGTAGGTATATATTTAATTTAAACCATACGGATAGCCCCGTGGTTGCGCGCTTGCTTGGGAAACCGAGTGAAGCTAGTTCAAATCCCGGGTTTCGCACCTCTGATATTTTCACGTGCGAACCATTTCCAATGACATTATTACTACTTATCTTACGGTGAAGGAAAACATCGTAAGGAAACCTGCATGTCTGAGAGAACCTAGCAAGTTTTCGAAAGACATGTGAAATGCTCCAACCCGTACTTGGCCAGCGTGGTGGACTATAGCCTCATCCCTTTGTAATAAAAGGAGGTCCGTACCCAGCAGTGGGACGTTAACAGAAAGTAATGAAGCGTCAAACAAAATATGATTAATGTGTTTACTAATTATCCAAACAATTATTATAATTTATAATAAATTGAATTGTGCGATATAACTATTGAAGACTCTACATATAGAGACTATCAGACTTCTGGGTGCAGTCTTGTCCAGCATACGATAACTAAAAAGTCTAAGGTTCTCTTATAAATTTCCTCAAATATATAATGCAAAGAAAATTTTTCGAATCGGAAGTGAAGTTCCATAGATTAGAGCTTTCAAACAAACAAACTCTTCAGCTTTGTGTATATTATAGATGTATTGTTATTTTTAAGATAAAATATGGATACATTAAAATAAATAATATATGTATATGTAAAAAAATGTTAATAATACCCAATATAGAGCAAAGAGGTCGAAAGAAATCTATAAATTTATAAGATCAAATATATATATAATGTAAAAGCGAATATTTCGCTCATTATATTTGTTGAGTACAAAAAAACGTTTATGTCAACTTTTAAATATATTCTATACATCATTCTGCAAAGGTTTTGTTGAAAAGGGAAATGGAAAAAGGGAAAAAATAAACAATGTAAATTAACTTTCTTTTTGAGATATTTTGTATTTGAAGTCCTATTTTATTTTCATTTATAGTGGGTTCAAATATCTATTTGCGGTCAAGATATTTATATCTATATGACTGACTATTTGTTACCGACTTCAAAAAAAGTCGAGGTGAATCATTCAAAAGAGATAGATTCAAAGAAATCTCATAGCAGACATTCATTACAGATTTTAGTAACATTAATAATCTAATCCACAGTCTTATAGTTCTGCCATTGTATGACAACTTTGTCATATAATAATACAAATATTGAATAAATTCCATCCACGTCTAATTTAAATAAGTTGGAAATGCTAATTTTACTAAGAAAACTACATCTGCTTTCATTACGTCTACGAATACTCCCAACATTTCTACTATTATTTTCATTAAATGCTTCTGCATACGAACATAAAAATTCTAATAAGACTAATTTGAATGATAACAATTTTAGTTAACACAAATTGTAATTAGGTATATAGTTTAAATGTGTCAAACATAATGACATCGTAATTGCTTTAGACATAAATTACACTTCACAAATAGCCAATTAGATGGCAATTATCTAAGCGTTTTCACTTAATGACTTTTTATGATATATATGTAATTGTAAGTGAAAAATAAAATTATATTTAATTAATACTATCAACAACGATGATTTTTTTGTAAATAAAACTACCTTTTTGGATTTTGTCGCGGATTTATTTTGATTTTTGTTCCCGATGTTTCGAATGCTTTACAGCAATCATGGTCACGGGAGAAACTACGGTTTAAGACGTGTCGAAAGTCAATATAAAAGAGCTGTCTGTAAAAACTATGTATATATTAATCTTTGAGACGTCTAAAACCTCAGTCTCTCCCGTGACCATGATTGCTGTAAAGCATTCGAAATATCGGGGACCAAAGTTTAAAATAAATCCGCGAAAAAATTCGAAAATAGTTTTATTTGAAATGTCAAATATTGGCGTAAATCTAAGAAAGTTTAGAGATGAAACAATTTGTAGCTTTAATTTAAAGCGTATTCTTTCGTTATTCTCCCATTAGGGCAGCTGGTGCTGGTGCAAAGAGGTGAGGATTAAAAGATAAGAAAACTATATAGTGTGAAAAAATCAATTCAAATCTATATTTTTATTTTTAAATTATAAACAGGTCAATAATGTTGCTTAATATTTTGAACCTTTTTAAATGTATAACTATATAATATTTAATAATAATTTATTAAAAATGTTTTAAAATTAAAATAAATATTGTGAGGTACTTCGGTGCCACTTGTCTATTTCTTCCAGATCATTGTATAACATTTGTGAGACGTCTAAAACCTTAGTCTCTCCTGTGACCATGTTTTCTGTAAAGCATGCGATGCGAAATGTCGGGAAACAAAATATAAAATAAAACCGTGACAAAATTCGAAAAGATAGTTTCATTATAAAATATCAACTATTTTTCTTGTTAATTTATCCCAAACCGTTCGGTTGTATCAATGTTCGAAATAGCTGATTTCAAATCAATCGCGAGTATTAAGACGTAACAGAAGACGCCGCGCCGTCTGAACTTTATTGAGTCTGAAAAAGTGTTAATGCAGAGAAGATCAAAGGGTAAATAAATAAATGCTCAACTTACGTTCTTTTTTCGTTCATCGCTCTGCTTCCTAGAGACGGTAGGTACTGATTGAACGTCGAATTTAACGAGAATTAAATACAATCTTATAAAAGAAATTAAGTATCTACTTATTTTAAATAAAATAATATATAATATATAATAAAATATCTACATAATATTTTTAGTTAACAATTATTATTAACTATCCA